CCTCTTCAGATCCCTCTCTCTCTCTCTCTAAGTCTCTTCTCATTCTCTTCATCCTTCCCTCACCCTCTTCAGATCCCTCCCCCTCTCTCTAAGTCTCTTCTCATTCTATTCATCCTTCCCTCACCCTCTTCAGATCCCTCCCTCTCTCTCTTATCTCTTCTCATTCCATTCATCCTTCCTTCACCCTCTTCAGATCCCTCCCTCTCTCTCTTAGTCTCTTCTCATTCTCTTCATCCTTCCCTCACCCTCTTCAGATCCCTCTCTCTCTCTCTCTAAGTCTCTTCTCATTCTATTCATCCTTCCCTCACCCTCTTCAGATCCCTCCCTCTCTCTCTCTTAGTCTCTTCTCATTCTCTTCATCCTTCCCTCACCCTCTTCAGATCCCTCCCTCTCTCTCTTAGTCTCTTCTCATTCTCTTCATCCTTCCCTCACCCTCTTCAGATCCCTCTCTCTCTCTCTCTTAGTCTCTTCTCATTCTCTTCATCCTTCCCTCACCCTCTTCAGATCCCTCCCTCTCTCTCTTAGTCTCTTCTCATTCTCTTCATCCTTCCCTCACCCTCTTCAGACCCCTCCCTCTCTCTCTCTAAGTCTCTTCTCATTCTCTTCATCCTTCCCTCACCCTCTTCAGATCCCTCTCTCTCTAAGTCTCTTCTCATTCTCTTCATCCTTCCCTCACCCTCTTCAGATCCCTCCCTCTCTCTCTCTCTAAGTCTCTTCTCATTCTATTCATCCTTCCCTCACCCTCTTCAGATCCCTCCCTCTCTCTCTCTAAGTCTCTTCTCATTCTCTTCATCCTTCCCTCACCCTCTTCAGATCCCTCCCTCTCTCTCTCTCTAAGTCTCTTCTCATTCTCTTCATCCTTCCCTCACCCTCTTCAGATCCCTCTCTCTCTCTCTAAGTCTCTTCTCATTCTATTCATCCTTCCCTCACCCTCTTCAGATCCCTCTCTCTCTCTCTAAGTCTCTTCTCATTCTATTCATCCTTCCCTCACCCTCTTCAGATCCCTCCCTCTCTCTCTTAGTCTCTTCTCATTCTCTTCGTCCTTCCCTCACCCTCTTCAGATCCCTCCCTCTCTCTCTTAGTCTCTTCTCATTCTATTCATCCTTCCCTCACCCTCTTCAGATCCCTCTCTCTCTCTCTAAGTCTCTTCTCATTCTATTCATCCTTCCCTCACCCTCTTCAGATCCCTCTCTCTCTCTCTCTAAGTCTCTTCTCATTCTATTCATCCTTCCCTCACCCTCTTCAGATCCCTCCCTCTCTCTCTTAGTCTCTTCTCATTCTATTCATCCTTCCCTCACCCTCTTCAGATCCCTCCCTCTCTCTCTTAGTCTCTTCTCATTCTCTTCATCCTTCCCTCACCCTCTTCAGATCCCTCTCTCTCTCTCTTAGTCTCTTCTCATTCTCTTCATCCTTCCCTCACCCTCTTCAGATCTCTCTCTCTCTCTCTAAGTCTCTTCTCATTCTCTTCATCCTTCCCTCACCCTCTTCAGATCCCTCTCTCTCTCTCTCTAAGTCTCTTCTCATTCTATTCATCCTTCCCTCACCCTCTTCAGATCCCTCCCTCTCTCTCTTAGTCTCTTCTCATTCTCTTCATCCTTCCCTCACCCTCTTCAGATCCCTCTCTCTCTCTCTCTTAGTCTCTTCTCATTCTCTTCATCCTTCCCTCACCCTCTTCAGATCCCTCCCTCTCTCTCTTAGTCTCTTCTCATTCTCTTCATCCTTCCCTCACCCTCTTCAGATCCCTCCCTCTCTCTCTTAGTCTCTTCTCATTCTATTCATCCTTCCCTCACCCTCTTCAGATCCCTCTCTCTCTCTCTTAGTCTCTTCTCATTCTATTCATCCTTCCCTCACCCTCTTCAGATCCGCCGCAATCAAAGCACTTCCGCATCATTTATTAACATTATGTTTTCATGGTTACCCTTTTGATGTCCCGTTTTATCAACACTTTTTTTTAAGCTACTAGAACAACTTACAGAGATTTAAAAAAACTGATGCAGCTTATTGAGTCTGTAAAACGTCCACATTTATTTTTCTCACTGAAAATCATCTTTGTAACAAAAACAGGTACAGATTTGCAGTGGTAAAAAACAGTATGAAACCTTTTTATGTTAACAAATGTGATTTATTTATTTCATTTAACAAGGTTTTCAGTAGTATAGTACTTGACAAGAACATTTTGACTTGTGTGCTCCAGTGAAAACAAAATTATTTCCTTTGAATCATAACTGCTTATCTGTAAGCCTCATGGATTCTTGCAATTCATAACTATGTACATGTATTCCTAACTTCAAGTCTTCCAAAATAATTACACTCATCACATAAATATATAAATAAATTAACTTTCATTGTTCTGAGGCACTTGCTTAAGTCAAGTAGCCAAAACAAAAACAAATGCATTTTTAAAAGTCTTTTCAAGAAGGTAAAAAACAAAAATTCTTCTGTCTCTCTTGCCAAGCATTTTTAACAGCCTGAAATGCATTAATTCAAATCAATTTCAAATGTATATACATGAATAAGACCTGTGAGAAAAGCACGCACTAAAAGGAAATGTCTTGAATTTTGTTATCTACCACCGAAACCTATAAATGTTGTAATTTCTTTCAGATTCACGAGGCAGGATATAGAGAATTATTTTTAATTCAAATGTGTGAATGAAGTACAGCATCACAAGAATCGGGCTGATCAAGCCATTGCAGATTGCTTCAAAATGTGGTCATCCTCTCATTCATACATCATGAATAAATATGTCTTTGGCTCAAAGCTGTAAAGAGTTGCACACTGTAAAAACAAGATTGCTAAAGCAAATGTCACTTTTTGATTTATAGTGAATTCAATTCAGAATAATTTACCAATTATTACCAGGGTGACTTTTGTGATCAAAGGAGGCAAAAAAATACTCATCATTCTCCCACCCCCCCCCACCCCCCCCCCCCCCCCCCCCCCCCCCCCCCCCCCCCGCCTCCCTTTGAAAGAAAATGATTGTCACTTCTATGCCATTAATTTCAGATGCAGGAATTTGCAAGCTGTGGAACAAGATAGGGCATGTGATAGGAAGCACCAAATTTCAAAAGTGTTGGAGATGAGAATGGGGGTATAATACAAAATAATTTAGTTGTATCCTTAAAGAGTTATTAAAAAAAATTAGCAGAGGCATTCGCCTATGAGCACCAAATATATCCATGCATACTCTTGGCACAGGCTTACACAGAGTGCACACAACCTTTTAACATGCATGCAATGGTACTTTTTAAAAAAAAGGGCGGTGCACTTCTGCACATACTCTGCACTCTCTTTAAAAAATATAAAAATAAAACTTTTAAAAGGACCATGTTTCATTCAGCAGAGTGTGAACATACAGGTGTGGAGGTAGTTTCAAATCATCCATTGTTCCATTTTACAGAATCAAGCACTTTCCATTTATGACAGCACATTGACATTGTTTTCAAATAGATGAAATGGCATTTGCCGATCAAATTCCTCCCATCCGAGCGCAAAGTTTTGTCCCCGACAAGGTTAATTTCACGCTGGGCACCGAACAAAGTCTGTTCTTGCCGTTCATGTACAAATTCGCTGTAAATCTATAGAATGGAATGTCAAGGATTTACAAGCAACTTACTTCTTTCAGAACAAAGCTGTCTATGGCGACTGCCGAAGGGAAACACAAAGAGTGGTCTTTGTGGACAGGTACTTTTAGTATGCATTTCAATGAGAAACCATTTTCAAGGGAAACAAAAAATGTGGTCCTTGTAGACAGGTGGTCACTAAAGCAGGTTTGACTGTTATTGGAACACAGCGTGTATAACAGCTATGGGCATCACAATACAAAGCAACCAACAGAGAGGCAGAGACTACACTCGCTCTTATACAATCTCTTAGAAGGCTTTTACATGTTTTCTATCCAGCTGGGTACATGTAACAATTTAAAACACGGGTTTAGAGTAAAATTCTATAAGGCACGTGTGTTGATCTTACACCCTTTTAGGTAAAATCAGGTAATGATAATTGCAATGTAAAGTGCTCAGAAACATAGTATTAAGCTCTATACAAATGCGACTATTATTTAATATTAGAAAAATAATATCCTTTTCGCTTTTGTACGACAGATCCTGATAAAAAATTGCAAAATTAATGAAGCAAATTTGTAAATACTATTACGATGAAAACATTGTGCTCTAGAAGACTGTACACATGACTACAACACAAACGAGCAGCCAGGCATGGCGTTCATAGGGATACTGCTTCACAGTGCATGCAACCCCACTTAGCTTTTTAAGTCTATCAGACGATCAACGGGTTGAAAGTAAAATCAGTGCATCCAAAAGTGGCATCTTTTCAGCCTAGCCCTGATCAGTTAGTACATGCAATACCAAGCATAATCAGTAAATGATCTGAACTCTTTATTTAACCCTCCTAGCTAGGCAGGTAAGTTCGATATTTGTGTTGGGATTACACATTGTACAATTACTCTCCATCTAACAAAAGAGAACACGGGCATAAATGATATACTCCAGAATTTTTCCTGTCAAAAATTTTAAGAAGTCTGAGGCAAAATAGAGTCTGACCCTCATTTATCCGGCCATAAAATATACGGATCCCCCTAGCAACCTTCTTCTTCTTCTTCCTCCTTTTCTACTGGTGGTTGAATTCCTCTGCTTGATGATGAATCATGCTGGGGCACAGGGGAAATGGTTGCGCTGTCAAGAGTTGGTAATTAGGTGAGAGGTACAGGAAGAATGAAGGACAGAAATAAGAAGCCAGAAAAGGGGGTGATTCACAAACATCCTAAGGTGAACTTATCTCTAAGTTGGACTTAACAGTTATGGAAAGCCATTAGCATCATTGAAAATATTTTGTAAAAATTATTGTAAAAGGCATAAAATGTTGATTAAAATCATTCATATTTTCTATTATCTTTGGAGATTTCATATTCTTGATGTGGAATTTATGAAAAGTCTAAAATACTTGAATTTTGCTTTTGAATGTTATTTCATTATAAGGCTACAAATGGCTCTCGATAATATTTAAGTCCAACTTAAAGTTAAGTTCGACTTAGAATCTTTGTGAAACACCCCCAAGGTCTCTGAGAGTCCATTGCCACCAGAACATACCACCCAAAACTTGCTCAAAACTCACTCAATACTCAAACTTGCATTTTGTTCCCAGAAAGTTTTTTAAAAACAATCAAAGCAAAGATTGAATACATTATGACATGCATGAACCCTACTGGCAAAAAGAAGCCATGTTCAAACGTAAATCTCATTTTAGCATCAATCTCATTTTAGGCCAAATCACATATCTAGATTGGTGCCGATCCTGGATTAACGAGGTCTTAATGTACCAGCTGCTTGATTGATCTACCTCAGTCTACATGACTGTATTCACCAATGGATCACAGTCTTTCCTCTCAGGAGCCAACTGCGGAGCATTCTCTCTGTTCAAGGCACTGCTGAAGGAAGGAACACGGCTACATCCTAGAAGACACTCTCCATGATGTCATCAGACTTCCTTCAGACCTTGGCCCATTTGATGAACAGGGCGATGTCCCTGACCGGTACGTTCTGCTGGATGGCCTTGACCCTCAGGTTGCGGTCATTGGTCAAGAGAACCACCTCTCGGTCAATCTGCAGCGGAGCATCTGAGGGCACACAGAGAATCATGCAGAAAGTTCATTGTCTTGATCTATTACTTCAATCTATCAAAGTCTTTGGATCAATGAATCAGAATTCCTTCAACAGTGACATTCCATTATGAATATTCTAGTTTGGCAGAAATTTGGCAGAAATATTCAGTCACTATTTAAGAATGACTCCTATTCAAAGTCATGGGCTAATGAGTCATTTGATATCTCGTGATAAAATGGAAGTCGTCATTTCCCGTAAGTTAGTATTTGAATGTTGAGAGATATGTCATTACTTGGATTTATGTCACTTAATAATAATAATAATAATTCTAAATTTATATTGCGCACAACTCTGCCAACAAAATGGCACCCTTTGCGCACACATCAACAAATCAAATACATTACAAGAATATGGTCATTAATCAAAATTCAACAAAATATATTACAAAATGAAAAGGCCACAAATGATCAACATAACTACAGATATGCTACTAATAACCAAAAGTAATACAAAATATTCTGACTCAGATAATAATCCTAACACTAAGCCTTATTCATCGACAAGGTTTTCAATTTTTGTTGAAAGGTTCTAATTGATGTTCTAATTCACTTGTAACAGTCAATGAAAGCTAAATGCATGAATGCCTCCCTATAATGTGGCACACCTGTAAATCAACTGCTTTGGAACAACCTCTGCAGGGAAACATAATTTCCTATTCACAGTAAGAGTTACATAAATGAGCAAGCTAAGAGCTCTTGCTCCTATTCACTATTATTCCACTCTAGCTCTATTTCACAAGTTAAAACTACATTTCAGTTTTTTTTTAAAGCACATTGCATATTCCATTACAAGAGGAGTGAAAGAGGTTTATACTGGCTTATATAAACAAACATACCTTTATCTTTGGGCATATACTGCCTAGCATCTTCCGAACAGTAATGCATGCAGCATCGCAGAATGTGATCATCATTGTTACCCTGAGTCAAAGTAGAGAAACGGAAGCAAAATTTACTAAAGGCCATTTCACAAATAACACAGGGAAACTGCAGCAGTCTTTCCTCTAACGTGTACATGGATGGCAAGTAGAGATGAATAAAGTAGCTGTGCTCACAAAAAAGTCCAATGTGTGCTCAGTAGACCTGTTTACTAAACATATTCAGATTTTATGCATTCTTTTTAAACACAGGTTGTTTGTGACAACTCGAAAGCTTGCACAAGGTTTCCCCAACATAGCAACAAGTAATGTATGCAGACTAGATTCAAAGTATTGTAGTTCATTCATTATTAACAGGTTAATGGAATAACCCATCACTAGGTGCCCAGGAAAGAAAAATCCATAAATTTGAACATGTTAGTATACTTGTCTATTGTCATCTGTATGTTATAGGAAAGATTGGTGAAGCACACTCCACATATGTCATCATTAAAAACGTCATTGCATCATATGTGAATGTACCCTATAAATCATTATGAATACAATGAATTCCAACCGAGACCGTAACGACTTTGCAAACACTAAATAATGGCCTGGGGGCGTCATAGCTTCCCATTTACAGAAAAAATTGTTAAGACTTTGCTACTGTACATGTAGAAATCTCACTATACAGTCCCATGACTTTTATCTTGAAAATATTTTGCATTTTTGGATATTGGGTTTATGAAAAGATTTCAAGTTAGCCTAACATTTTCAAATTTGTGGATTCTGTTTACAGAACAAGTGGAAAATTTAATTTTGTTTTCTTCGTAATTGAGTTATCATAAGTAAAGGAATTCATGCATTGGGATTCAGATGTACAACATAAAGGAGAGCCATTTGTAGCCTTTTATGCCTTTTATATAACTTTTACAAAATATTTTCAAGGATGCTAACGGCTTTCCATAATCGTTAAGTCCAACTTAGAGATAAGTTCAACTTTGGATCTTTGTGAAACACCCCCCCCCCCCCCCCGATACTCCAATTAGGTTTAGACTCACCCTCCAATCAGCCTCCTCGCTCCTGAACCTGATGTTGTCCAGGCTGCTTCCCTTCGAGGTCAAGGCACGGAGGTAACGGTTCCTGTTGGCAAACTCCTCCTCCAGATACTCGACGGCGTACCTGGCTCCGTGCTGTACCTTGACTGCATGGTGAGGGTCACTGTACTGACCTTCCCTGCTCCCACGGGCTAGTCCATCCAGCTCATTGATCACTGCAGGACAAACAGACATTCAAAAAATAATATTCTGCTTTTATATAGCACCCAATATATCGATACAACAATGTGCCTAAGCGCTTTACAGATATAATATTACCCCGGTCATCGGATTAAGACCACCTGTCTACAAAGACCACTTTTTGTGTTTCCCTTAGGCGTTCGCTATAGACAGGTTTGACTGTACTTGTCTTTAATGAACCTTTACTTTCACTGCCTACAGGGACCCCCTGTGTCTATTTGAGATAAAGTGAGGTTTCCCAAAGAACGCCCTCCTAGTCTGCGCTTGAGAGAAACAGACAGGATCGGTAGTCTGGGCCCTGTCTTACAAAGACTTGATATTAAGCGCAACTATTGCGATTGATATCAATCGCAACTATGTACATAAGAGATAGGAGACTGGAAACTTGCGATTGATTAGAGGACTTATTTGGATTAATCGCAACTCTTGGTAATACAGGGCCCAAGCATGACATCTTTTACCTCATATATCAATTACTCCAGGAAAAAAAGGGACAAGGATAAATTTAAATACAATAAAGAGTATTTGGCAACTGTTAAGCAAATAATTAACGTTGGTGAAGGTTTTGGGACAAACTATCACTTCCGAGGCGATCTGGATGTAGCTATCTTTCCAAAGCGAAGCTGAGGAAAGATAGCGTATACATTCTGATCGAAATCAAAAGGTGATTATTTGCTTTATATTCCACATCTAAAACAATTTAACTACAGAAAGAAAAGGACGTGTATGAATCTACATAAAAGACACCTAGGCCCAAATTCACACCAAAAAAGTTTACGTTTAACCCAACCCCTTGAGGGTACGGTGCGCGCATGTGTTTTCTTTAATTGCGCTCATTGACAATGACAATGACAATGACAATGACAATGACAATTTATTCTCATGTCACCCACATTGGGGTATTGGAGAAGTTTACAATCAGTTAGAATTTGTCAATTTAACACTGTTTTAATCAATGGTAATGCGCGCTTAATTACACCTGTTTTAGTGCACTTTTGGATAATCTTCAGTGAAAGTGCATTGCACTGTGTAGATAGTACCTTTATATTCAGTGAAAGTGTGTTGCACTGTGTAGATAGTAGTACTATCTACACAGTGTAACAAACTTTTAGCTTCTCCCATCAATAATGGGCAAACTATTTTTCATCATGTGATTTACTTTTGACCAATCTCCTGTCGCCATTATAACAATAACCACCACCCGCACCAACTGAAAGTACATACCCACAAGAGGGATGACCACAAGGTACCTCTGACATGTCACCAGTCTCTGGATAGCCGGCAGGTGATCTATGAAGCAGTTGGTGTCTGGTACCAAGAAGTATGGCTTGATGACTATCTCCAGAAGACGTTGCGACCGATGACTCTCAACGATGGCCTGTGAAAAGGTAGGGATAGTGAATGAGTGGTCATTATAGAGTCTCTCACTGTCTGTGTATGATATATTTAGGATGTTCTCGCCCTATTTAGGTATTTTCATAGAATTCTGAAGAGAAATTTCCCCTAAAATTAGAGTCAATTATGTATACGTCCCATTCCCCCAGGTTTTGCGCCCCTCTTTCTTAACTTCTACAAATCTCCAACTCCTTGCTAAATAAAATAGAGAAGCAACGGACCTGTATTTGGGCACCTCTTATCTCCCTGTCCCTGAGTTGTTTCTCTAGACTGTCTCTCCTTTCTCTCAATCTGCTGATGGTTCCATCTCCATGAGGTACGTCATCTTCTACGTAGGACTCCATCACAATGACATCATCATTGTCATCTCCTCTCTGCAGAGACATAGAAAGATATGATTAACAAGTGGAGAACTACTGCTGGTGTTTATTATGTATTGACATTATCATCATCATCATCCACTCTCTAAACACACAGAGAAAGAAATGAGAAACAAGTAGAGAATAACTGTTGGTGTAATGTTTTATCTTTTATGTTGGGCTACATCGCAATGACATCATTATCATCATCCACTCTGTAATTAATCTACATAGGAAAACATCATATCTATTACTGACATCATCATCATCGACATCATCATTATCATCATCATCATCACCACCGCCACCTCTGAACTGAATCACTGTAACCCTTTCCAAAGGGCACGAGGGAATCCATTTAGTTCCGGCCCAGGGCCTCCCAGTTATGAGACCCCTGCTGTACAACTGTGCTGTCTGATTAATAGTTACAACAATCATTCAACAAACTTAGATTTAAGAATACCACCCATACTGCTCACCTCAAGGTCTTTGGCTTGAAGGTAGCTGTGATCTGTCTCTCTGCGAGGTAGTGCCCTTGGGGCTACGGAAACGTAGGAATCGCTCTTGACCGAGAAGCTGATGAGAGGAGTCTCCTGTCCGCTCAGGTACTCACCAAACATGGTCAGTGAGTCAAGGCGGACACGATCGTTGGCAAGGATCTGAAAAAGGAAGATAATTGATTAAACTTCTGTTAAAGCCCCACTGTCCTACTTGTAGCTACTTGCTCCCTCTATATCGAAAACAATGCCTAATCGGTAACCATTGGTCCCCCATGGTCCTCTTTTTCTTATGTTTATTGACAGCTTAGTTGATGAGATAACCACTTGTCCAGTGACCTTGCAGGGCGGTCTAATCCCTCCCATAAACTAGTACAGATGCGCATTAAATTATGTTTAATTATTTCATGGTTGTTCCTACTATTACTACCTCTTAAAGGCATTGTTTAACAATATTTCCAGTTTTACAAATCCGAGATGCATGGCCCTAGGTGTTAATGATCATGAAGTGCTTCAAAAAAGTAAGAATCTTTGAGTGACCGGTTTTACCATACTCATTTTACCCAATAGACTGTAGTGTTATAAAACCCATTCGGAAAACGGTTTTTGACATTTCTAATTCTAATCATTAATATCTTGATAATCAGACAGGCGATCGGCTTGTAAAAGTCATGGGATTCCTGACTGACCTAAAGGTTTATAATTATGATTGCAGCATTAACTAAATCCAGGAATTTTTTTAGAGTCTGATGCAAAGATACCCAATCCCTTTAACGATTCTGATCAATCTTTATTGATATCATTTTCCCATTAACAATTAATCGTTTTCCTTTAAAATGTTAAGGATCTTCATATTTGAGTTCAAAGCTTAAAACAATTTTACTACCCCAAAGACCATGTCAACATGATAAACAGAGCCATGTGTGTTGTGACACTGGTCCACATTACAAAAGATGCATAAGTAGGGAATGAAATTCTCTAGGCAATTTGAGTATGGAATGTCTTACATCCATGTTAAAATACTCCAAATGCCAACAACATAGTTTTCAGAATACTGTATAAAAGAACATCATTTTCCAATACCATCTGTCTGTTGGGAGCTTCTTGTGTGATTAAAAATTCAAACTAAGGGCACATTGTATTCTATAAAATAAAATGAGAGAAACCTGGCAAAGAATATTAAGGTCTGACTAATATGTTCAAATCTGCTCACCTTGGAAGTATCAGCTTGAATGAATACAGGTTGTAGAGGGAGGGCCATGAGCGGCACAAAACCCGACAGTGCCATATCTTCAGGTAACAAGACTTCTAGGCTGTCTGTTAAAGGGTACAGTAAAAATTCAATGAAAGTAAGTTGGGTCATAGAGAGTGGGCCAGGAGAGGAGAGACACAAAACCTGACAGTGCCATATCTTCCAGTCACAAGACTTCTAGGTTGTTAAGAGGGTACATTAAGAATTCAATGAAATGTAAGTTAGGTTATAGAGAGTGGGCCAAGAGAGACACAGAACCTGACATATCATCCAGTAGCAACACTTCTAGGCTGTCTGTTAAAAAGTGCAGTAAGAATTCAGTGGAATGAACATCATACATGGAGAGCTACGAGTGGTACAAAACCTGACAGAATCATGTCTTGCGTCACCAGCACATTTAGACCATTTGATAAAGGGTACATTAAGAATTTATTGATAGTAAAATTGCGTCATCTTTGGTGCCCAAAAGATATTTCCACATGGATTCAATTAATCTTTCTGAAAATTCTGAACTATGATGGGGTAAAGAGAAATATGAAATAGTTATGAGGTTTGAGGATAGACAAATACCTTCTTCATCGTTGACAGCAAACTTGACATCAGGCACAGCCACTCTCTTGACTAGGTTCAAGAACTGTGCTACCGAAGACCAAACATCAAGCGATGCACTGTATATATACATGAAAAATAAATCAATAGCAATGTATGAAGTGACAAGCTGAATGATAAGCCAACATGCCGAGTCTACAGCCCCCTGGCGGGAGACTTCTGTCTCGGAGATGATTCTACGAGAACATTCTTACAAAACTGCTCTCCCAATTTAGTCTGCTCCCCCCCCCCCCCTCGAAAAAAGGTATACTCATATATGAGCTAAAATGAGTACATATCATTATTTTTGTGTTTAAGATAACAATTTAATTCTAGTTTTCCCTGACTTTTTCTGCCTGTGGTGATTTGTCACTATGAGTGGGCATTAACATCTAGGGTACCTATGCACATCTTAGTGCTGGTGGGGCTGTGATAAGACCGAGTATCTTGGCTTCGTGAGCTAGCTGGCTAGCCATGCAATGACACTGTGATCATATCAGGTTCACGCAATATCTCCCTCTCGGGTAGTGTCTGACCTTGGCATCTCTGAACATGTGAGAGGCATTGACTTGTTAGTGTTATATTTCTATTTAAAGTGTTCTTCTGATCTGCAGAACTCCTTCAAATATTATTATATCATACAACTCAGTGAACAATTTGAATTTTTTGAGATGCAAGGAGAGATGTATATGGATTGAACTGTGTAGGGCCACTCACCTCAAAAAATCACTGTTACACAGGTGTGAGCACATATAATATTCTGAAACCTATAGATTATGGTTCAGATTTCTGTTTTTTTTTTTAACTCTTGTTGATGAAATCAAAAATTAGTGAAAAATCTGCTGATAACAAATCAGAAGCAAGGATTTCAGTAGCTTATAACAAAAACTGACATTTGTAACTGATAACAAGTTCTGTGAAACGCCCACCTGAACTCAACCTTATCTACAAGCTATACTTGGTAAATTGCTACTGACCTGTATGAGGTAGTATTATAGCTAGGAGGAGGGTTCCAGAGCTTTGGATGGCACATCATCCAGTCAGCATAGACCTTGACACCAGGTAGTAGCTCGTGTAGATCCTGAGACAACACGCTCTGATCAGTGCCCTGCTGATCTAGATGATCTGGGAGACATAGTTATCATCAATTATAAATATGAACTAAATATTAATGATGATGATAATAATAATAATTCAAAGTGTTCTTTGGATCTGCTAAACATTCACCCTCCGAGTCAGTAAAGCGGTACGTTTGTCTTGATTTTCTCTTTCTTTCTATTGTACCACTTAATTTATATTTAATTACTCATATAGTTTAGGGACAAGCCTTTGGTAGGCCTTTAGCCTTTGTTTGTCCCCTCACATTTTGATACTTCTGTTCTGTTGTGTTATTTGTTGGAATTGACTTTGTATTGTGTATGTTTATTATAATTTTTATCAAATGTGCAAATAAAATGAATTGAAATGAATAATAATGACACCAGTTAGGAACTCATTAGATACAAGTAAGACAAACTGATCAGTGATTTGTTAATGATGATCTGCCATGACACAACAGACCCAATAGAAAGAAAGGTTTAACTGCACAATACCCAACCAGATATCCATAAAATATATTCATGTTCGGTCAGGATTGGAGTAAGGGTTAACACCAGGATTATGGTTAGGATTAGGTTAAGGTTAAAGTTAAAGTTAAAGTCAGGATTAGGATAAGGGCATGGGCAAGGTTCAAGTTCAAATTTAGTGTTCTTTTCAACAACATTCTCATAAGTAGAATACACAAGTTATACATTGAAAGCAATTATACATTGAAAAGAGAAAGATGAGGAGACCTCAGGAAAAGCTTAGCTTGTAAAGGTAAGGTCCCTCAAAACAATTATAAACAATTGGTCAAATACTGCAGAGTTAACTATAAACATTGTTATAACTATATCATAGGAAAAGTGGAAAGGCAAAAAGAGACTGTAACTCGAAAAAATTCCTAATAAAAACAAGTAATTCAAAGACTAAACCATAGGTATAACACGAACAGAACATAGACACATTAAATGAAAGCTCTGTAGAATTCATAGAGTGTAACCTTGTAAGAGTGAACAGCATCTCAAGCATAATAAGGCAAACATGTTGAGACCAAGCAGGATGGCGTGCTCTAGGAGTTGAGGATAATTCTCAGCTGGGGAAGGACTTTCACCTAATGGGAAGACAAATTAGCAAATTGGCAATGCAACAGAACATGGTACCATCATTCCTTGATTTGACATGGTTCTGTTGGCTGATATTTAGATCTTGAATATGGGTCGATCAGGACATCTTTTCAAGGCACTTTGCAACTAAACCTGAATAAATATGATCAAATAGCAGGATTAGATATGATCTATAATTTGTTTTTATTTTTTTATTTTTTTATTTTTTATTGGTGAATATTAAGTACTGTGTGCATTGTAGCTAGATAGTAACTGATATGATAGACATTTTGTTACTGGCTAACAATAGCCATGATCTATATTTATCACTGGGTGCACAAATTATGAGATATAGGGCCCAGACCTCATCAAGTAATGAATATTTTCTCATATCCATGCAATTTTACAATCGCACAATTGGCACAAAGCAGATCATTATCCTAGCAAATTAAAGACTACTAAAATGGATAATAGTAAAGGAGACATGGAGGTGTTAGCTGTACAGCAAACATTTGAAAGGGATGAGGTGTACGAGCACTGAACTTTATCTTACCCTTACCCCCCCCCCCCCCCACCCTCACCACCCCCTACCCCAACCTACCCAATCCCTTTTCCAAATGCCCCACCCCAACTCGCCTGAAGGGGATGTGTTAGCTACAGCAAACATATTGATAGCCATGAGTTGAATGAGTCTTGTACTCAAGATGGCTGAAGGCGAGTGGTCTAGGAGTGCCTTGAACTCTCTTAATAGATGCTCTGTTGCATGCTCGAAGGCCTCCATCCTGTCAAATAAATAAACAGATCAAATTCTTAACCTGTTGCCTAAGGGAACCATGTGGTTCCTGTATTATGTCTATGAGAGAATTCAGTAGTCATCAGGGTCGGTATTCAATTCAATACAATAGCATAAGTAAGAAATTTACTAGGTAAATGGCTAAATTAAGTCATTAACTTATCTCATATTCAAATCGCATTTTAGACTTATACTTTCGTAAGACAAAATCTGAGTACAATACTTACTGATAAGCATTGTGACGTCACACGGTCAATCAAAAGTAATGCGCAATTGATGCATTGCAATAAATGCGCAGGATATAATACTGCGTAAGAAAACCATATGCCTGCCAATCAAGGCCTCCAAATAATTGGCTTAAGTCTGGTATGGAGTTGGCTTAGATTTAGAGTAAAATACTTAGCCAAAAGTGTGAATTGAATACCATAATTGGCTAAGTATTTTATCTAAGCCAAATACTAAGTAAAAAGCTTGAATTTTGTACTTAAGTATTGAATTGAATACGGGCCCTGGGCCCCATCTTATAAAGAGTTGATATCAATCACAACTTATTTGCAATCGATATCTTTCGCAACTACGTATATAAGAGATAGCAGACTGCAAACTTGTGATTTATTGGAGGAATGGCGATTGATTTGGATCAATCGTAACTCTTTATAAGACAGGGGCCAAGGTTGTTCAATTGTTAACAGGTAGCCCAGTTTGCAATCAAAAGACTAAAAGATGACTTACAATGACTAAGAGCTACAGATCTAATTTATTGGTATATTACTCTGGATCGACATGTGTTGTAGTGCACCAAAATCTGACATTGCACCTTAAATTCCTATATGAGAGACAAAGTACTTTACTTTCAATTTGGGCATCTATTATGGGGATTACTATTCACTGAAAATAAAGTTGAAGGCAAATTTAAAAACAAATAAATAACAACAATCACATTCAAAACGATACTTTCAAAAGAAAAGATTCCTATTTCTGGCTCGAAAGTGATTGCTTTCAAGTGTTCCAAGATAGATGTAGGAATATTGACTATATTTAACTAACCAAGCATTATCTAGAAAATATTTGGGTTATCTTACCCCGTTTTTGTGAAGAGCTTCCCATGGACATTCAAGAAACTCAGCACAAACTTTTTGTTGAGCTGCCAGAAAGGAGAATACATTCATACTGTCATTATAAATAAAAATACTTTACGCACAAGGTAGTAATGACCACTTATATGGTAGCCAAAGCATGTGGAAAGAGCATCTTAAAACTCCTATGAGCAATATACTATCAAAATAAAGAGGAAAAATTGTTGCCTTGCCAATCACTGATGTCCAGTCAATAATTCGTTTTCTCATCAGTGTCTACCTAATGGCCTAGTGAAATCTTTAGGTTTATGATGTCTACTCAATCTATCACTCAAAAGGTGGTTACCCATCTGTTCGTTTTACCTCACAGGAGGTGGGGGAGTTGCCTGTGGGACTTCCCTAGCAGGTGACGGCATTTTAGGATAGTTGTCCTGGGAAAAAGGTATCAAAACAAGGGGGGTAGTTGGCCTGGGGGAGAGTTGTCCTGGAAATGGTTGTCACAGGGGATAGTTGTCCTGGGGATATTTGTCCTTCTGATAGTTGTCCTAGGGGGAGTTGACCTTAGAGATAAATGTCCTGGGGACAGTTGTCCTAGGGGGTAGTTGTCCTTATGATAGTTGAGCTTAGGATAGCTGTCCTAGAGGGTACTTGTCCTTGGGGATAATAGTCCTAGGGGATATTTGTCCTAGGGGATAGTTGTCCTAGGGGATAGTTGTCCTAGGGAATAGTTGTCTTGGAGGATAGTTGTCCTAGAGATAGTTATCATAGAAATCTAAGCTCACCTCAGTGGCAGACAGGTGGGAGAGATTCTCTCCAAGATTCTCCATCTCATCCTCGTCCTCTTCCTCTTCCATCTTCTCTCCTCCTACCCTCCTCCCATCATGAGCGACCCAGACTTCCTTCCTTCCTCTGTTGTCATCTTGAGAGGGTCTCCTCCTTCTCTTTCTCCTCTGTTCTCTCCTTCTCTCCATCTCTTTCCTCAACTCCAAATCCTCTTGCTCTTTGTGTGCAACCTGGGGGTGTTTCACAAAGATCCCAAGTCAAACTTAACTCTAAGTTAGACTTCAACATTATGGAGAGCCTTTTGTAGCTTAAAATAAAATATGTTCAAAAGCAAAAATTAAAGTACTTTAGACTTCTTATGAATTTCACATCAAGAACATGAAATCTCCTTGATAATAGAAAATATGAATGATTTGAATCAACATTTTATGCCTTTAAAAATAACTTTTACAAAATACTTTCATAGATGTCAACGGCTTTCCATAATTGATTAGTTCAACTATCTTTGTGAAACACCCCCCTGGTAGAACTGCGATGACAATACAGCGAATTGTAAAAACACGCACAAGAGACGATGGTGCACGTACACTTTAGACTTCAGATTTTACATCAAGAAATGGATTTGATATGATATAATTTTGGAACAATCAAGTTTTGAAATGAGTCGACAAATGTGCTAAAAGAATTAAATTACAACATGATGGATGAATTGAGCTGTTCCAGCGCTAAAATAAGAAAAGGTGTTATTTTTTAATTTATGGGAGTCTAAACTGGTTTACCTAAATGAACAATAGTACTAGAACGCTGTTCAAACTACCCATATTCTTAAAGGTTATCCTGAAGCAAAATTTTACACTGGATTTAAAGGAGAAGTCCACCCTGATATTAATTTGGTTTTAATAGAAGCAGAAAAATGAGAGAAACCAAGTAGTCAAAGTTTGAGCAATTTCCGATTAAAAATAGGAAAGTTATGAATTTTGGAAGTTGTCATAATTGAAACACAAATTGGCAAAAATGTGAGGAATCTTGGGAGCTCCTTTCCAATTTGCTCTGTACAGACAATTTCATAAATTTTCATTATATTAGTTGTTGATGAGGGAATTGATTTTTTTCATACGGGGGTTATATACAAAATATATTTACAATAATTATATTTAGGGTGAAAAAAAATTTGAGGGAAAATATAAATGTTCGACCTTATTTAGTACAGTGCAAATGGAAGGGGAGGGCGCAAGATGTGTCAGGGAGTTGCCAATTTGTGTTTGATTGATCGCACTTTCAAAAATTCATAACTTTCCTATTTTTAATCGGATATTACTCAAACTTTTACTGACCTGTTTCTCTCATTTTTCTGCTTCTGTTAAAATCAAATTAACATCATTAAATTGTTTTGGTGTCTTTCAATGCCACTTCAAAGAATCCAAAAACCAAAGTTTGAATATTCATATACCAAATAAATGCTCATTATTTATTTGTTTACCTTCCTTCTGACCTCCTCAAACAAGGTCATCAAACTTTCTCTAGCGGTTACGAATGGGTTGGTAGCTGCTAAACTCCTCACGTAGAAGTAGACTGCATCAAGCTTACGCCTCTATACAGGATATAAAACAGAGAGACACACACATATCAAACTAAAGAGATAGATGATAATAATATTGAGCATGAACGATCAATAATATGGCATATTCTGTCCAAACTTACTAACTGACACTGGATTAAAGCCAGCCCTAAGTCAAGTTAAACAATGGCAGTAAGACCGTAGTCCTTGTGCACATGACTTGATCCCAGCATTTAGTGGAACTGAACTATTAGAATACTGACTGATGTGTATGACTTAAATGTTTGTTTTCATTCACAGATTTGTATGCAGTCAAAGATAAATAGAAAAAAAGAGAATATTTAATACCATTGTAATTATAGGTGTGTATTTGGACCTAGGCTCTGATTTCCTTAAGGTGGATATCTGGTAATTAACATAATTTTTTAATGGTAAAATATTTTACAGTGAAATTAGCATATTGGTAATTGGCATTATGAAAAATGCCAATTCAATGTACACTTAATTAAATTATGCGCATAATTAATTAGGCGTTCATGAATAAATTATGCGTTAATTAACTTTATTGGCACGAAGCTCCTATGAAAACTTTTGGGGCTACCAGGTTGAGTGACATGTCATTTTAAAGCTATTTTCATGTGCAATGGGACTACAGTCTTTAATATTCAAATAAGAATTGTTTTGCATGTTAAATATAAGAAAAACCATTATTTAACAGAAAAGTGACCCTAATTATGTATGCAAGGTGACTAATAAGTGCACTTCCTTAAAAAAAATTACCAAAAAAAAAAAGTCATCCCATGCTCTAATGTATGTACTGCCTACATGTGATATTTCATTAATAAAGGTAATAAAATGAATGCAGGAGAACTGTTCAAAATTTGTAGATCATTAACAAAACATGAAAGTACATTAAATTGCCTGTAAAGTTTCTTCATATAAATGTGTGTGATTCAGAACATGTGTATTAGCCTATGGCAATCTCACTTGCCATAGGTAATGTACAGGGCCCAATGAGTCAGCATGAACCATAGAGATGGCATGAACAGAGCTCTCACTGGGGAATCCCCATATGGTTATAGCGCCATCTATAGCTCAGATTGTACCTGAAAGATAGCAGCTTCATGATTCTGCTTTTTTCCCCATCAAATTTGCTCAACAAATATGGAAATTATGCATTTTTTTCGGATGATGTCTCCTGGTCTGTCCTGGATGCCATGGCAACGGAAATGCTGGGAATTGCATGGCTCATTAAAGGTACTTAATTAAGTGACTTTCAAAAAGAATTTGGGTATTTTCTCTTTATATCATGAAAATATATACTTCAGACTATTCATTAATGCCAAAAAACCAACAACAAAAATTCTTCATTTTTTAGGTATATTAATTAGCTATTTACATCCTTAAGTTGTTTCATACCCACCAACCTTCCACAGCAAATATTAAGATAAAATCAGAAAAATAACACTTCATGTATGTTCTCACACAGAAATTTTCAGGCCCCAAAATACGAATTATTCCTCCAAAATTGGAATGGTTGACAGCTGCATTGTTGGCTTACCGTATACAAGGCCAATATAGCCAGCTGGTTGTATGGTCTTCCATTCCTTGGTGCTAGATGCTGTGCTTTCATATACCAGCTGATAACAAATGAGGATAAAACACAGTACATTGTTAATCACTCACAGCTACAACCGCTAAAAAAAAATTGCGTCCAGTGGCTCTTCATAAACTTTACAGTACTTTTTATGCAGGGGCTCTTTTCATAAATATTCATAATCCTCAAAGGGCTCTTTTCCCATTAAAAAAAAACTTGTATGTTCCTCCCTCAAAGGACTCCTTGTTTCCAGTTGATTAATATTTCTTGAGCTGAATTTCATTTTCAAAATTATTTCTTTCTACTTTACATTTCAGCTTGTTCATGTTTGAGTATGCACAATCTTTGAGGTACCAGTAAATTAAGGATGTTATGTGACTGGCGCTTAGAGACTTCGGTGGTAAGCGCTTTGTAAGTAACGTATTCATTCATTCATCATCATCATCATCATCATCATCATCATTTAGTGCTATGCCAGACACAGAGAATCCATCATTTCAACCCGGAGCCTCTCAATGCATGGTTGATATGATCATTATATTCTACATTTTTAATGACTAACCTCCTTGCTTTCCCATAGTTGTTGGTCTCGTTAGCCTGCTCCTTGTACCTGGCTATATCACCCAGTGCTATCATGCATCTCTGTGCACTCAGCAGAGCCAATTTAATCTGCAGGAGAAAAAGCAATGGACAGGTGAAAGAAAAACTCACACCTGTGGCTAACAGCCTTCAGTAGCAAGTATGTTAAACCTGGTTTATTTACTGTTAATGTCTAGAATTTTTGTAAATTCATAGTAAATGTTAATCTGTATATGTTACACAAGTGAAAATCAAATATCCAGAAATGGACAATAAATGAATACTAAAGTGTGGCAACTCAAAATATTTCATTCAAATTTCAGGATGGATTTGAAACTTGACAACTATTGCAGATAAAACACATGAAGAGAGAGAGAGTTCCTCCACTTCAATGGATTGTGATAATATTTGGCACCTTTTATGTGAACATTATTTCATTGTATGCCATCGTCTAGAGTCTAAACTCATCTAATACATATTCAGAGATCCAAAATGGAAGTGTCAGCCGCCATTTCTGGGGGGGCATTGAGTATGTTCCATAGTTAAATTATCCCTGCTTTAGTTTAGGGACAGTCATGAACCTGTCTGATTACATACATACATACATACAACATTGAACCATCTCTTTGTTCTGCATTTGGATGCCCTAAGCTATGGTGGATGAAGCACTACAGTGCTCCAAGAAACTGTGGAAACCAAATTGGTCTACAACCAACAGGCCAGTATAATCCTTATACCAAGCAGCCTTTCTGAACAAAACGAAATTGTACAGGATAAGAAGCAAGGTGTATTGCAATACAATGCTAACAAAAACAAATGACAATCCTCTTAAATCTTAACAGTATATCCTAAATCTAAAGTGTGATAAACATAGTGAGTGACAAGAGAAAGAAAAACAGAAAGAAAGAGTATAAGAGGGGTAGAAAGAGAGAGAGAGAGAGAGAGAGAGAATGGAGAAGAGAATGGGGAGTGAATGAAAGAGACATAGAGGGAGAGGATGAGAGATAGATAGAGAGCAAATAAGAGAGAGTGAGAGAGAAAGACAAAGAGAAGAAGAGAAAGAGGGGATGGAGTGACAGGGGGTAAGAGAGAAAGAAAAAAAAAATTACCGATCTTCTAGGTTCTTCATGAAGGGGATCTAAACCGGTACGATTTTCTAACTGGAATTGATAGGTTGATTGCAGCTTGTTCAGCAGACCTTCATAGAATGCAGTGCCCTAAAACAAATTTAAACACAGTTGATCATAATTAAAGCAACAACAACAAAAGTACAGATTATCATTAGGTTTCATTAATTTTATGATATTAGAAAATGCAAAGATTCATTTTGCATAAATTATGAATACACACATTTCATCATTTTATTTTCTTACTTATTTTATTGTTTTGTATTTCTTATCATATCTAAATTCTTTTGTTCTGGAATATATCAACTTACTTTGAGAAACATATCAAAGCAATTTGATATCAATTCATATTACTCCCACTTATACATCTATTACCTGTATTCACATTTCTGCTTGTACATATATATATATATATGCAATTATATCACATTTTGATGACAATCATGACATACTAATTCTCGCTACCCTAAATAGGTACGAAAATCTCGAAATTCGCGAGACGAGGTAATTTTCACTCTCTCGGGTCGTCACTACAACTTCCGGTATAGAGTCCCATCCCGCTGGCGCTAGCGCCTGTGTTCGCTGTGCAGAGTTTTCACGCACGCTAAAATCGATGCCAATCAGTGTAATTTGTACAGATTATAATATGCAATGGAAAGCTTCGGGCAGAATTAGTGACTTTAGCACAAAAGGCCGTTAAACTCTACCGTGAAAGAGAGGGTTGTGATCACGAACGCCTGCACAGGAAGCTGTAATGTCGAAAAGCTATCCCATAATGCAATGCGCGTTTTCAGGATTTTCCCCGGATCTCGGCAGAATCGCTATTTGGGGTAGCGAGAATTGTTATGTAACGCCTTACAAGTATATCTGATTTTGATGAAAATGGTATCAAAATGTGCGTATGACTTGAGGGGAAAAAGTAATGAAACAACAATTTAAAATTCCAAGCGACGCAATCTCTGAAAATGTGGGGGGGGGGGAGCCTCTGGTTGTTAAAAGCACCTATCTATGGATGCATGTAGGCACAGTCTCAACTCAAGTGCGGATAGATTGCATAATGAACTCATTTGTATACTGTAAGTGTGACTACACATCATGTAACTCACATGTTGCATGAAATCAAGAAGATCTTCCTTGTAGCTGTCTCCATTAGGCTGTTCCTGGATGGCCTTCCTCAGTGCTTCGATGAGCTGGTAGTAGCTGTTCTTCCACAGGGTCTGCTCCACATTGTACTGATTACATAGATCTAGGTCTAGCAGAATGATGCCCTCGTATAGCTGCTCCAGCTCTTGCCTGGTGAGGAAGAAGTCGTGTTAGAATTGTTGATTATGGTCATGCAATTTCATCATAAAAGGAACTGTCGAAAATCAATTGGGAAAGGATATGATTAAGTTGTAAATAAATGTATGCTGTGATGTTTTGGGACTACCAAAAGTGACAAGAATATGCATCAATCTAGCTAAAAATCACATGGAAATAGACACATGGGAATACACACAACACTTGTCCACTCTTCAGCTATTTCTCATCATGTTTCAAATATGAAGGAATTTTGAAGAGCACTCCTTTACTAGGTAAATTTCTACCAAGGTATTCCTTCAAAAGTTGAAACTGACATAATAAGAATGAGAAAGCTCACAAATTACATTTCACCTCTATGAGGTTTTATATTCATCACAAGTTTTAATGATAAGATTTATTCTTGCCAACAAAAAAGTTGTGTAAAAACATGTTTTACACTTAGTATGCACAAAGATCTAAATCCAATCAAGTTATTTGTAATGCACCGATTCTGAAAGAGTATATCAAATCTGACAGGGTTTAAGAAATTCACAAAATTGACTCTACTGTAATAGATCATTATAGGGTTTACTCAATGTTCAATAAAACTTTCTTACAATCTATGATTATTATTAAATATTATTAGCCATCAAAGAGAAAGGACTCACTGCTTGTCTTGGAGCTGTTGCAGAGTCTCCCTTGTAGAAATGCCATGACTCAATGCATTGAATAGCTCTGTTTCACACCGAGCAGCATCTCGTAGGAGCTTCTGCGCTGATTGGTGGTTTACAGATTGGTGCTCCTGTAGCACGGCAGCATTAGGTGGATTGATGTATCCTGGGTGATAGGGCATTCCAGGAGGTAGTGGGTAAGAGTGTCCTCCGTAGGGTGGTGGATACTGCATCAGATGAGGCGGCGGGGGAAGGGGAGGATTCCCTGACTTGTATACCTGGGCTGCATCAGCTTGGCTTGCCCAGGAGGAGGGATTAGGCACTTGGTAGCCTGGAGGCGGAGTTGGGTATCCGTACGGAGGCTGCATCATCCCACCAAAGCCGGGAGGATAGTTTGGAACGTAGGGGTTCCAATTCTCTTGCTGAGCAGCGGGTGGTGTTCCCCCTCCTCTAGAATCTCTTTTGTCCAACTCAGGGTCCTGGAAGTGCAGATCACCATGCTTCATTTGATGTTGCTGCAGAGCAGGCTTTTGATTAGGCTTGCTTGGGTCCCACAGGCGGCTCTGATCACCAGTGCGCCCCTTTGGCTTGGCCTTAGGTTCTTCAGGAGTCACTGGGGTATCAGCTTGTCCTTCAGGAGGCTGATAGAACTGATCATACACAGGAATATAACTGCCATGAGGCTGGGTATTGTCTTGTTCTACCTTCCCAGGCAACCTCAGGATACCCCCTCCATGCTTAGTACTGGACTCCTCTGCTTCACTACTGCCTCTTCTTCTTCCCTTCCTTTCAGAGCCATCATCGCTCGACACCGATACCCTATCACGTCTTCTCGTCGTATCCTTTCTCCCTCCAGAGTGATAGCGCGTCCGGTGATCTTGTTCTCTCTGGTGTCTTTCTGGTTCCCCACCACGCTGATGTCTGTCTTCATCAAATCTCTTATCCGGAGCATTTCTTCTGTCTTCAGGTCGTCCATTTCCTGATCTATGGGAATCTTCAGTATCCCTGTACCGTCTGTCATTTCCTGATTTATGGTATCCTTCTGTATCCCCTAACTGTCTTTCATTTCCCTGTCTGTAAGATTCTTCTTTATCTTTAAATCGTCTTTCATTTCCTGACATATACAGCTCATCATCATGATCTCTATACTGCCTTTCATTTCTTTGGTCCTTTCGTTCATTATTAGAGCTGCTTGAATGGGATCTGTTTGAAGCATGATCATGTTGCATAGGTTGCTTTTCATCTCTATTTGGAGGTCTCCTCCTGTCATCATGTTGCCTCTCAAAGCCTCTGTCATCATGATCTCTGTTTTGAAACCTTTCATCTCTTTTTGGTGGTCTCCTTTCTTCATGCTGTCTCTCAAATCTTCCGCTTTCACCAAACTCTTTCTTTTGAAACTTACGATTAGTGATGACCATAGATTCTACATGGAAGTTGAGATCATCAACATTTTCCTCCCACTCACCAGGCATTGTCAAAGCATGACCCATATCAGTTTTCTCACTCCTTAAAGAATTGTCAATGTCCATCCTCTGCCGGGAGCGACCAGCGGAGTAGCTCTTTGAAGGCTTCTCCTGTACCACCCGAGAGCTCTCATTAACCTCAGATCCTGTCTTGACTGTAATCCGTAGATCTTTTGAACTAGACACTGTATCAAATTCTTCCTGACTTGAACTCTCTCTTTCCATCTTTTCTTTCTTGGCTCTTAGCTTCTGTATTTCTACAGCATAATTTTGCCTGGATGACTTGACAAGATCTTTCTTGGGTTCCTTATGTGATGTGTCCAACTCTGTTTTTGAGTGACCCTTTTTGCTGCTCGTTGTTCTTGCTCCATGATCTTGTCTGGTATTAGTTTGCCCGCATGTCTGATTACTTTTGCTCTGTGGAAGTCGTTCTCCTGTCTCATTTTGTTTTATACTATCCCTGTGATGGGTGTCGGCAGACTTTTTAGGTGAATGTTGAGCTTGGTACTGATGCTCAAACTCTTTATCCCAATCACTACCCATCAGGCTCACCACTTCCTGGGATGTATTTTCTGATAATTTAGAGTCATTATGGATCTCCTGCTTTCTCCCTTGATATTCTATGTCATCACCACGTCTTCCTTTGCCATTGCGACCATGCACATGTTTCGGTGGGCTTTCATTCCTACTTGGACCTTGCACACGTTTTGGGGGGCTTTCTCTGCTATTCAGACTCTGCACATGTTTCTGTGGGCTTTCATTCCTACTCGGACCTTGCACATGCTTTGGGGGGCTTTCTCTGCTATTCCGACTCTGAACATGTTTAGGTGGGTTTTTAGTCTCAATTACTTTTTCATCTACTTGAACTTCTGGGGATGTACATGCAATGTCTGTTTCCCAGTCCTCTGGTTTGATTTCCCATGTGTCTTCATGCCCATGCTCATTATCTACTGATAGTGTCTTCCCAGTCTTATGCATCTTTGATAGCTCCTGTTTAACAGGTCTGTCTCGTTGTTCTCTCTGGCGCGAAGGTTCCTGATTTTCCCTTGGTCTTGATCCAGATTTTGCATGGTTGCTTCCACTCTCAGCTCTTCTGTCCAATCTGTCATGCCTGCTTCCACTTCGATCTCCTCTTCTTTGTGGTTTCTCTGCCTCTGATCTCTGTTGCCCTTGGTTCTTACTTTGTACAGCCTCATGCTCAGCCTCTTTCTGTTGGGGAAGCTCTTTGGATTTACTCTCCTCTTGGACACAAGAGACCTGATCTCCTTTGGATCCGACCTCCCTTGAATTGGCAGAAGCCTGGACGGGTTTGGTCGGGGATTCATCTCTGCTGGAATTCAAGTCACTTCCTGCAGACGAAGAGTTCCTGGCTATCCGAGACTTGCCCGGCCTATATAACTGTTGATCTGGTTTTCGCTGTTCTTTTTCCTTGCGTGCCTTTGTAGGACGTGATTTGGTGGGTTGCTTCTCTTCCTTCTCTGCACCAAGCTGTGATTTAGTCTTCCCTGTTTGATCTGCAAAAAAACACAAAAAATTTTAAATCACATTAAATTGCAAACCAAACTACATTTATCATTATAAATTCATTTTCTTTAGACATGGTTCCACACTAACTTTATTGATGTGGTCCCTCTTTTTCCCTTCAAAATCGAATTCTTCAAATCATAATTTCAATTCAATTGGTTGGACGTTGGATGGATGTCCAGAGTCGAAAAATATTGTAGGGGGGGGGGGCCTAGATCTAAGTCAAAATTGTGATTACTAAGTCTTTACATTGCGAAAAAAATGTGACCCAACCCGCTGTTTGAATCGTTTTCATTAGCGGGATGAGCTCTGGAGCTCCGACGCCTTCGGCATCGGCGTCGGAGCTCCCTGGATCTGCAGTTACATTGCCATTGCATTGCCATTGGCATTGGCCATTGCGTACAACAAACACATAGATCTACACCTGAAAGAAATACAAACTAAATCATCACTATGGTAGGTAAGTTCATAAGAAGGAGCACTTAGTTCATCTTACCATCATGACCAGCTCCTTTCTTCGAAGTTTCCACCCTTCTTTTTAGCTGATCATGTGTAACTTTCACAACTTCCACTTTGCATTTGGTCGCCATTTTCACATTTCGCGGTGTAGTTGAACGAGAGAGGGCGCATGTAATAAATGAAATGAATCGCTTATCGGATATGCTTTCAAAACCAATTGGCCTAAAGATGCATCTAAAAAACATGAGGTCTATTTTTTGGTCATATACGATGAAGAGATATGTTTGAATGTAATGGTTATGTCATTTTGAATAGGATCAATATAACGCGGTTGTGTCCTGACTATTTTTTAAGTTGTTACCTGAAATGAGACTAAGTTGCTGTCACACTCAAAACTAAAAACAGCAACAACAACACACACAAACGGGGATTCCACATCCACACTCCACGCACACAAACACATGCGGCGCGTGCATACAAGATCTATGTACAAAATCCAACTCTCGCATCAGCTCTGCACTGCAGCTGCAAGATCGAGAAATACACGAAGTCGATTCTTGGACGAACGGACTCCAAAATAGCAACAAAATGGATGTTGTACCCACTGGAATGCGAGGCTTAAGGGCATGTTTAGTGTGTTCACTTATTAAGGTATTTTTTAGTTTAAAAATGATTAAATTTGTTTTATAATATTATTATTATATTATTGTTGACTAGAAATAAAATCTAATTTCTTCTGTCTGGGACTAGGGCAGTCTAACTCCAGGGAGCTCCCCCGCTGCTTCAGCGGCTGCATAGGAAAACGTTCAAACAACGGGTTGGGCGACATTATCTCAAAATATGCAAAGGGTGTAATTACAATTTTTACTTAATAGGTTGCTCGACTCCTCTGGGCATCTTGCTGGCCACTTGAAAGTATAATTTGAAGAAGTCTTTGATGGGAAAGGGGGTGATTCTTCATCCTACCCCGAAGTAGACCGAATTTTCCGTCTCTTTCGTTCGTTAGCCTCTTATTGGGGTAGGGTCGGCCGGCTCTCTCTTTAGAGACGGAAACCGTCTATACACATTCCCTTGATAACGCCACGGCCATTTCAGGTCGTAGCGTTTTGCCCCCAAAATCCCCCAAAATGTCATTTTACCTCGTGCATATCCACATGTAAATTAGGCCTAGGCTATAATAAATCAGTTCCACTTACCAACTTGACTGAAATAATCAGTTTAATAGTCCCTTTTTAGGAAATTATGGGTCAAAATCGAAATCCATTTTGAAAATCTTTTTCAACATGGATTTCGATTTTGACCCATAAATTCCTAAAAAGGGACTATTAAACTGATTATTTCAGTCAAGTTGGTAAGTGGAACTGATTTATTATAGCCTAGGCCTAATTTACAATATAAAATGCACGAGGTAAAATGACATTTTGGGGGATTTTGGGGGCAAAACGCTACGACCTGAAATGGCCGTGGCGTTATCAAGGGAATGTGTATAGACGGTTTCCGTCTCTAAAGAGAGAGCCGACCCTACCCCAATAAGAGGCTAACGAACGAAAGAGACGGAAAATTCGGTCTAACCCCGAAGGCGAAGATTCTTCCATCATCCATGTTGTATCATTGATTCAACATGGCGAAGAGAAAGTACGCACTAACGCACATGCGTCAGAGCTTCCTGGAGTTACCCGCTGGGCTGCATCTCACGAAACCGTCACAAGTTCACCAACTTCCCATTGAAATGCGTGTATTAAGTTTAACACATGTTTCCATGGGATGTCGCTGAACTTGTAGTTGTACTTATATGACGGTTTCGTGAGACGCAGCCCAGGATTTATCTACGGTCTAGACTCCGCACGAAGAACTTTGCGCATTGAGCGCTGTACAGTGAGTTTAGGCGGATGGCACCAGCATACTTTCGTATCCATTTTTTTACCCATATCTCCGGCGTGGAGATACCCTAATAAAACATACCCCAAAAATCAATTTAATCTTCATTTGTTCAAATAATGGTCATGATCTTAAGTCATGATATTTCTTACCCCTTTCGTGCCAATTTTCTTATATTTTTTGGAGTATTTTTCCTAAAAACAAAGACATTATACCAATCACTTTCTCACAGGTTTCATGGCAAAATGGTGCCCAATTACAATACAATTGCATACCGTAGGCCTACCGTACCGACGGAGGGCCAGTGTGTGGGCGTGAGTGAAGTCAATTTAATACAGTCTATAACTTCACGCACACTCATAATGCATTGCATCTCCGATATCTTGAACTTGGTAATTTTGTAGACACTCTGACTTATTTCTTTTCTTGTGTATACTATAGACTAAAGTGACATTTAAAATTTAAAAAAATTGGTATTGTTTATTTGGTAGACTGCTGACCAATTTGAGGTTGATGGATGTGACAATTGTGCAGAGTTTTTACAGATGAAAAACAACAGAGATATGGTCTTTGATTGCACAAGTCCAACGTTTGATGGGTGAGTACATCTTTCCTTAAATTCTAAACTTCTCAAATCATCACATATTCAGCGTTGTCACCAGAATTATTTTGCTATAAAATCTTTAGCCTTAAGTTTTGTGTAAGCAAACGCTAGTCATGATTTCAAGGAACCACTCAATTCCATTGGCATATATCAGAAGATTGTTTAGACCCTGTAAATGACTTAAAGGGTTTATGCTTGCGAACTACATACATGTACATGTATCTCCTAACTAACCTGTTCCCAAAATACTTCATATTAATATAGTAATTAGTATTCATTATATGAAATTATATTTCATTTTCATTTCATTTCTTTATTGTGTCCATATAGGATAATTGTTTATATGCACATGAACAATCTTGCTTCAACATATGAACATAGGAACAACATATAATTGACATTCATAGGGCCCTGTTTTAGTATACATTTAAATACTCCCTTCTTCTTCTTCTTCTTCTTCTTCTTCTTATACAAATTGGCCTAGATAGTGGCAACTCCCTCGGCTACAAGAAGTTCAATGATTGGGACAATATTGTGTGATAAACACCCACTATTCAGCATATTTAAATCATTTTTTTCCCCCTCTTTTTTCCTTCTTCAAGCTTAATTTCTTTGATGAGTCCAGAAGATAGCTGGGTAGCCAAGTGGCAGAGAGTTAGTAAGTGATCAGTCTTCTTTTTTCTTGTGTTTTTATATTTCTAGGTAATCTTAATTAGTGAAATGTCTTCTTTTTTCATTTTTTTTTGTTTTGGGAAATTTTGAAAATTGGGTGGATAGTGATTCTTTACAATTTTGATATATTTGGATGCCCCTGTGGATGAATTATAAGCACTAGAAAATTCAGCCTCTAAAACACTTCTACTTTCGAAAAAAATTGAATATAAAAATTTACGAGTGCTCCCGGTAAATTTTGATAAATTTCAAATAGCGCCTACGGCCGTACAATGGTAGCTGCGACCATATAAATCTCAGAATGTGTAGTTGTGATATATATATATAATTTCCAAACGGGAATAGCTAATCGGTATGGTTTTAGTCAGGAAACATTGTTTTATATGTGTGTGTGTGTGTGTATTTGGTTTTTACAGACGTGTATCAATCAGATATGATTATTTACGTCTGGGGACCGACCTTTAACGTCACCATCCGAAAGACGTGACTCAGTTTCGAACCTGCGTCCTCGGCTGAATCAGTTTGTAACTTCCACTGTTAGCTGGATTACAGGCGCACGCCACAACGCCTAGTTGTGGCTTAATTAATATGTTGACCTTGAGAGGGAGCTATACAACATAAAGAGTTTATTATTTACAATTTCATAACTTTAGACTTGATTTCAAAACTTTGTATTACCTTTAAGTAGATATGCCAAACAGGATACTGAGAGAATATTTCTAGTCTAGTGACTGTGTACATATTTGATGAAAATTGTTTTCAAATTATATGTCATCAAGGAAAAAAATCAATGGTCATATTATTTGTAAATGAAATAAAAGATTAATCTATATGTGTTGTAGAGGACACCTTTCAAAAATATCCCTTTTGTTTTTAAAATATTTGTGTCACTTTTTTAATTACACCTCAGGATGTAAGGCATTCTATTTCTCAACTTGACTTTAATACAAGTCAAAGATGGCACGCTTAAAGGTACTATGTCCCATTTGCAGGCCCATAAAATGAAAAGGTTAAATTCCACAGCATTTGAAAGGCAATACTAATTTAGAACTTCCCTCAAAACGAAAGGGCTTGAAAATGGCTTTTAGTGGGAAAATAACGACCAGTTGGTTGTTGAATCGACTTAAGTGATTGCAATCAGCTAAGTAAATTCTGATTTTCAAACCCTTTTACCAAATTTTATGGAAGTACGTTTCATGCTGCACAAAGATTTAATCAGTTAAATTTTGGCCATTTCAAGTAGTGGTTTATTGATGTATGGTAGACAAATTCTCATTCAATGTTGTTGAATCGACTTAAGTGATTGCAATCAGCTAAGTAAATTCTGATTTTCAAACCCTTTTACCAAATTTTATGGAAGTACGTTTCATGCTGCACAAAGATTTAATCAGTTAGATTTTGGCCATTTCAAGTAGTGGTTTATTGATGTATGGTAGACAAATGCTCATGTACCTGTTAAAGCTCATTTTATATATATATATTACCAAAAAAAAAAGTATGTCAGTTAGTCACTCAATAGTGTCTGACAGTGAAGTCTAGAAGGTAAACAGGTTTCCTTGCATAATTTGAATACTAGGACACTGCTAATGTTTAAATTGAACAGATGGGACATACATAACATATTCATAAATGTTGCAAAGTTCTACATAATTTGATGTTGGCTGCAAAATGGACATAGTATCTTTAAATGACAATTAACAATGTTTTGACAACATAAAAGATGATATTTTTTTCAGAATACTACCTCAGGCAATGTAACACAAAGATAAGTTAGCAAGTGACTGCTATTTTGCAATTGACCATGATGTACAATCAATCGGTTGAACGATCAATTGCTAAGCTTTGTGTTACAGGTCCCATTAACAATATTCACTTTCTCTGGCCAAAGCTTATAATCATTTCCCTATCTTCTCTTCTAGATCGCTGTGTTAAAGGATGCTATGCAGTGTCTGTAACGGGGGAGCTACCCAAAGGCATGAAGCAAGAATTGAAGAGCAGGGGGGTGATATACAAGTCCAGAGATACCAGTGTCAAGTCATGATGATAACATTTTAGCGATTGTAAATTTGTAAATATACCTCTTTCCCCATGTATGAGTATACCTTTTGTCCCAATCTACAGACATCCAAGCCGTTTTACGACACTTGTGTTTCTGTCACTATTGTTTAGCAGTAATTTCCTCCCCAACTGAATGCCTAACTAGTTTGACCCTTGACCCTTAACCCTATCCCTAAACTTAAAACTAAAATATTGGCAACCCGAACCCTAAACTTAAACTAAAACTCATCGAAAGTATAGATGTGACTCTTTTTTTTAATCTTTATTTTTTTTAATGTAGATTAAGGTAATTGACAAGGTGAACACACATAACCATCTTTAATACTGTACTTTGATACTTGTGAAAGATCATGTTTCAATTAGATCCCTATTTAAATTACATGAATGAATGATGACATTTTTTAACCTGCTATTTCAAATGAGCAAAAGAATTGAAAATGGTATCTCATGTTCCCCCAGAATTTGATGGGGTAACATGAAGTGCAACTTTTTTTCTAGTGCCAACTGCAATAAACATCCTAATTTCTTTATGAAATCATAATCAGTAGGTTAAAAAGAAACAAACTGTGGTTTAAGGAAGTCTACATACTTTGGGTTGTGTCTGAACAAATTTTATGTAATGTTATTTGGGTTATAATATCACAAAAATGTCAAGGGAACTTACTTATTATCAAACTAGAGTTCTAACCTTGCCAATCTTCCTCAGAAAAAAAAAATAATACCCCCCCCCCCCCCCCCACCAAAAAAAAAAAGGAGAAAATCTGTCTAGGCAAAACAAGGAATGCAATGTATATTGCATCCTTATAACTATGTGTTCACATAAGATTTTAGAAAAAGAGAAGAATCTAAGGTTCCTAAAAACACTAGTCTGAATGCCAAATTAAGAAATTTTCCTTCAAAACAGGAATGGTTGGCAGGTCTAGATTATACTGACAAGTTATTAACTTGTAATTTGATAATACTGATGTTTGAAATGCAACAAGAATAGACTTCATGCTTGGTATCAATCCAATTGTTTTATTTAAACTGATGAGGAAGAAGCAATCAATAGTATACATCATGTATTACATGTATATGTGAAGAAAAGCATTATCTGAAACACCTTTATGTCACAAAGTCCTTTAAATATACATGTATTTTATACAGTTTACCATACCATAATTAACTAACAGGACTTACTGACTTGGAACTGTTGTTTCTAACTTACTTATTTTATAAGATTTTCAAAAGAATTTAATAATTGAAGCAGGTAGATACTTGGCATGTATACCCTTACTAAATTGTTTTTCCAAAAATCAGGGGAAACATCATGAATCTATTTTTTCTTATTTTCACACTTTCTTGTAATTCTGTAAATGTCATTTCCTATGTACTGTACATGTTCAAGTTATGTGATGTTTTAAATAAAAGAATTTTCAACCATATTCAATTAGTATGTTTTTCTATGTTTAAAAAAAACATATATGAAATACTTGCTGTAGGACCAACATTTTTTTTGGACAATTTCTTTCTCCAGGAATGATACACTATTTTCTTTTCTAGCTATTATTCAAGAAACAGTAAAATGGAGTAACACAATTTTACATACCTGTATCAACTTCTCAAAATGTTTATTCCTATTTACCCTCATAATAATGGTGCAAGGATTTTTTTCAGACTTCACATTTTTTACTTTGTACTGGTAATCCACTAAAGTGCCAATTGGAATCAATGTTTAGTTCTCCCCTTGCCGCATAATTAATGAATAGGCAAATAAGTGCAATTCTAAAAGGCTTTAAATTTCTCTAAAACCAGAAGCTTTTGCAATTTCTGAAGAACAGTCATTTATATTTGAAAAAACTTTTGCACATTGAAGAAATTCAGTTTGGTAATTCAATCATTTTACAACAGAAAACTGCATGAATCTGGATCACTGGCTGTGCAAGCGAAAACTTTCTGGTTTTATAAATATTTGTTTATATAACAACACTGTCATAAAACTCTAGCTATATATTAATCCTTCAAATCTGTACACAGAAACCTATTTGTACATTTGTAAGGCAAACAAAAATACATAGCATCATATCCTTATTACTATGACTTTTGATCATCACAAGAAAGCATTTCAGACAATTTGAATACTCTCCAAATAAATACCTGTGTTATATATTATATTATACATATATGATACAAGTAGATAGTTTATAATATATACTGAATTTATACACATAAAATGAAACTGATGAAGTTCTATGTACATATCTGCGATAAAGGCTATAGCAGTCAGCCTCTAATGCTCTTCCCCCCCCCCCCAAAAAAAAAAAATAATAATAATAATAATAATAATAAAACCTCAGATTTTGAAAATGTGACATAGATACAAATTAATCGTCAAATTTCCAAATTAAGCCAAATGATCTCCCCCAAACAAGCCCCCTCCCCCCATTCATTTTTGAAAATAAAATTTAACAAAGCTCTCAGAAAAAAAAAGGGGGGGGGGGGCTAACGATTAAGGCTTGTTCACAAATGCTGCCGTAAACTGCGGCTGTAAACTGCTGTAGCAGCATGCAAGAAAGATGTTAAATGCATACTGGCTTATTTGTATGTTATCAGATATAGTGCAGTTTACTGTTGCTAATGTGAACTAGGCTTATATATACAACCTATAATGAATCTTCTATGGCTCTACACCTGTGGCATTTAGCCTCTCTCTGACACCCCTATCGCATGCAGCCACCATGCTTCTCATCACCTTTTGTTCAGGCAGTGTTGCTGGGCGGACAGACACGCAGCGGAAGACACCCTCTTTGGCCAGTATGTTCCCAACACTACGGAGGCATTGACCCCTAGTCAGCAGGCCTAGTGGACGGTCCTGTAGATACAAATATAAAGAGATTGGTCTTCATTTCATTTCAATAGATACATAATTAATTCAATAACAATTAGTTTAGAGAATTGTTTTGCATACATGTGCACATTATTATGGTTTATTATTCATTAGTTGTTGTATGGAGTCACAATTAGAATATGATTGCATATAGAATATCAAGGCACTGTAAAACCAGATATTTTTGTGCACATGACATTTTTTTTTAATTCACAAATAATTCAGACTTGCAAAAGTTTCTGCAAGAAAAAATAGTGGACATAACTGATAGTTAAGATTTTCAAATACATATTCTCACTTCAATTCAATTCAATTTATTTGGCATCATAAACAAATAATTCATAATTTATATAAACAATTTAAACAATAAAGAGTATCTACTTTCTTTTTTGTGTAGTATAATCTAGACTGGCACAGCATATCTATGTATATCTTTGCATTACCTCTTTACAGAAGTAACACTCATGTGATACAAGCATGGAACTCAAACTTAAAGAACAACAGAGATTTTGGTGAATGGTTCCCTTTAAGTCAAATGATAATGAGATACATGTATATTTAATTCATTTTATTTGCTTAATAGCTTACTGTCTCGTAAAAGATGCACTGAAGGGTATGATTGCCATCCTTTAATGTAAATTTCTTGGCCATTCCAGTATCATTGGAACACACAGCCGAGTTAAGGATGCCTGGAATAAAAACAGTCAGTAGTATATCAGCATAATAATTTCAGACATATCAAGGGTTCAGTGACATAAAGACGTAACTCCATATTTTGCCAAAATGAGTATTTGATATCAAAATGTTTTAAAAATGTGGGCTTTCCAGGAAACACAAAGACTCAACTCCAGCCAACACCCCCATTGAAGTCAATGGCTAGTGGAACATAGACTCAACTCCTTAAGGCCCAAGTGCTCAGTGAGTCTGTGACACATCAACCACTTTTTCTCAAAATGGCCAAAATGGAGTTAAGTCTTGGGTCACTGCCCCCTCGATATATACAACTATAAAATATACAAATCCATTCAGCATTTCATCATTTTTTTCTTGGCCACTCAATTTGTAATGGACAACAGACTTGAGGGTTTCTGGAAAACTATAGTGATCTACAAGCATTCTAACAGCTAAAAGCATATGACCAGAGTAGATGAAATTCCACTCAGCAATTTATCATAGTTCTTAGCCTCTACATATTTGTTGGAACACACTGCAGAACTTATTATGCCTGAAACAAACACAGTGATTTCTATCAGCATAATAGAAATATACAGTGTAGGATGGGAAAGTCAATGCTGCATTTTGTAACTTGGCCAGGCACAATGCATCTCCACCTTCCACAGGAGATATTAGGAATCTCCAAGGATGAGATTAAGAATGTGGTGCATTTTGCATGCTTTTAAAAGTGCAGAAAGTTTTCAGTAAACAAGAGAAATGTAGGTTTCGTTATACTAGTTTGAAGGCAAACAAAAATAGGAATCATTCCCCAAAATAGGAGTGGTTGTGAGCTATGAGACACTTTATACAGAAGAGCAAGTGTATCACAGCAAGGAGAAACATTCAGTGAACTGTGACATACCGGTATTGCTCTTGGAACTCCAAAGAGATGCATTTATGGTATGGTAATTGGTATGGTATTTATTGAATCATGCATCGCAGTTACATATACTTTGTGGAGCGTGTGTGCAGCGCTTTGTAACTGCAAGGAAAAGGGGCTATATCAAATATCTTTTGGATTGGATACTGAATTGCACAGAATTATTTAGAGGAGTAACTTTTAAGAGTAACATACCAAACAGTTCAAAGAAGAGTTGCCCTTGGGTGTCTCTGGATACTGTCCAGTACCTGAGCTCCTCTATGGACACAGTCAGCATCTTCATGGATTTATCCACAGAGCATCCTGCACTCTCAGGGTTCTTCATCTCCCAAGCTGCAGTATTAGGCTAGCAAAGCAGAGGATTTGAATTAGAGTATAAAATAGAATATAAAATATTTCATTCATTGTCTTCTTCCAAAACAAAAGAAGAAACTTTCCATCCAGGTGAATTGTATTACCGGTACATAAAATTACACAACTTATACAAAATTTATTATTCAAATACATTCATATCAAAATATCAAATGCATAAAAAGTATGAATAAATAAATAATACATACATATAATACAAATTACATAGAACATAGGATAAAGGGAAGGATAAAGGGAAGAAGACTAGAAGGAACAAATTGAGAAGAAAATAGAATGAGGGGATTAAAGGGGATTAAAGGAGAGTGTAGCCCTGAGTATTATTTGTGCAAAAGGTTTTTTGACTGTGTTTAAATAATCTCCAATAGTCAGGTAAACTGATGGTATATAAGTTAAAGTCATGAATATAACATATTGTTTTTTAAGTTGGTGATTGGTATTACAAAATTGACACAAGGTATATCACACTCGCTTTAAAAATATTTCACTTGTTATGACAACTTGTACAATATGCTTACAGCTCTCGCGATATACCCTTGTATGCCACACAAGGCCATTCAATATCATATAAATATATAAGAAGATAATACGCAAATGTCTGAATTTATCACTCTTTTTACATTATTGCCAGATATGAGATTTAGGATTTCCCATTCAATCCCAGATATGCCACAGATGGTGTGTAGTTAACAGACCATATCTATGATAAAAGCAGTTTCTGACTTTATAACCCAAAAAAGGAAGCTCTTTCTAATTGTGTACAAGATTTACTTCTTCAAATACATCTGCTGCGAAGTGTAGAAGAGAGGTCTGCAAAATTAACTAATGGCAATCATTGATTAAGCAAAGGATTAATTAATCATAATGTTTGCAAGGGGAACATCATATTTACCCCAGACCTGATTTACCCCCTTATTTTGGTGCCACTGTCAGTATCGCCTAGCATTACACACATCTGTCCAAGCATTGATCTGTATCGAGTTATTTTATTATTACATTAGCCATTTACTTGAGGAACCTAGATGTACCTGTGAATGTACCTGTGGTGTAGAGGGCATCCTGAATGGAGATTGGGAATTCCCCATTGACCCTCTGGCTGTGTGACTTTGGGGTGCGGTATGTGGGAGATCAGGTCTCTGATGTCTTGGTGAGGCAGCATGGTGCATGGATGCCTGCTGGTGTGAACTAGGTTGGTGCAGGGGTGATTGGTGCATGGCGGATGGGTGGTGCATGGCCTGCTGGTGCATGGCAGGTGGGTGCATTGAAGTATACCGTGGTCCTTGGGGTTCTTGGGTGTTGTTCCTGCACATCAGCAATGAATGTGATATAAATATAAATGTCCATACTTCACATCCTCTGTTTAGAACCAGAGGGGCATTATACTTGTATACCTTAACCCAGAATAATGCTTGTTAGGCTCTTAACACACGATATATGATTGATTGAATGTATTCAAGGGGGCGCGATAGCTCAGTCGGTAGAGCAGTGGTCTCGTAATCCGGTGACCCGGGTTCGAAACCAAGGCGATGCGCTAGTGCCCTTTGGTAAGGCATTAATCCTCATTACCAGGTCCATCGGAGAGGACCTAAAGCCGTCGGCCGTCTGGTTGCTTACTTACAAGCATGTATGCCATCTTAGCAGTCAGGTAAAATAACCACCACACAATCGCTTCAATCGCTTCAATCACTTTTAGTGCATACCTGATCATCCTAATCTTAGAAAATTACATCTAGCAGTTCAACCATGAAACCAACATATTTACTGCACCTGCGTTGAGTGCCAAATATAGAATGTCTTGCAAAGTAGGTCATCAATCATTTTTCATATATTATTCTCAAATTCATGAACAGCATTTTAATTCAACTTTTTGGATTAGAGGCAATATTTTAAACAATGTCTGCATGCTTCGCTATAATCACCCACCACATACCTCTGAGCAGACTGGACATTACTGGACTGCACAGCTGGTGATGCGGATGGTCTGTAAGTCTTTGCCGGAGAGGGTTCATTGTACTTCTGCTGCCAGGGTCGCAACAGTTGCTTCATGTTTCCAGACTGCTGCTGAGGAGGGCCTTGGTTCATGTTATGCTGGTTGGATTGCTGATAGGGTAAAGCTTCCAAAAGAAAGGCCAAATTATCATTACATGGATCACTGTGTAATCACCACTTTAAAACTACAATCATTAAACTCGACAGTTCCTGAAAGATGATATCAGAAGAAGGCTCTAGGGTCGAACGAATAAAATATATTCAAGAGATTGAGTTTGGACTACGCACATGTATATCATGACTAATTATTTCTGGGCTGCTGCTCCTCATTTACAAGTATTATAAATGCATGTTATGTATTCAATCTATATAGTACTCATTATAGTCAACCCAATGATCTCCAGGACTTCTAATACAACTTTAAATTTATAATAAATCACAGTGAGCAGAAAATGTTATTACCTAGTGGCTATTCTAATCTCATGTTCACTCAATAACTTAACATCTTCAGTAGATGAATATTTTTACCCAGCACTTTAAAAGGTGAAACCATCCTGAATTTAAACACTGGCTCTTTCTAGAGTAAGATATTGTTCATAAAGTCTAAAAAATTCAGCAATGACTTGGGGGGGGGGGGGGTTGGGGGGCGAGGGGTTCAGCTTTCCGGAATCAGGGCAACTAGCAAAATAATAGATGAAACAGTTTCCGCAGTATTCAGGCAAAACGTTTTTTATTTCAAACACTATCTTAATTATTCCATAAAATTCAGATAAACCCAGTAATTTGTTTTACTCTAAAGTCAACCACAGAGTGATAAATCAAATAATTCTCTGGTTTGTATTCTTTTCTCAGTAGAAAAAAATCTAAAGTAGATTAAAAAGATTGATTAATTGAATCATTCTCTAATTTATGTTCATTTGTAAGTAGAAGAAGATTACATATAGAGTAGATTGAAAACATTTTACCAGTCACTAACATTCTGCTTCTTTAAATAACATATTATTCAATCGACTATCTTCCTACAACAGCTCCCCCCCCCCCCCCCCCCCCTGAAGAATAACTTTACATCTAAAGTAGATTGAAAACATCATACCAGTCACTAACATTCTGCTTGTTTAAATCACATATTATGCAATCAACTATCTTCCTACGACTACCCCCCCCCCCCCCCCCGAAGAATAACTCTACATCTGAAGTAGATTGGAAACATTTTACTAGAACTTTGGTAATATTTTACCAGTCAGTAACATTTTGCGTGTTGAAATATTCTTCTTACAACTTCTTGGATGGTATCATGATTCTTCTAGCTTTCTCAAAGAGTGCAAGTTAAAGGCCCCTGCAATATAGTCTCACATTTGAAGAAGATTATGAGGTACAATGACTCAGTGGTAGAGCAGTGGCCTTGTACCTGGGAGATCCCAGTTTAAAACAAGTCCCTGTGCTACAGGTACATGTAGACTGCTAGTGCCCTTTATTAAGGCAATAATCATTTACCATTTCCTTCAGAGAGGACTACTGAAAGCTCTCATTCTCCTAGTCGCTTATTTAATGTACAAGCATACACATCCTTTTTAAGCAGTCTGGTAAATGCAAATCATTAAATCAAATCAAAGTTAAGCCATCAGACCCATAAATCCAAAGTCACTGACGTCATTTGGAATTTTCTTCACTTCATCATTTTCTACTCTCCACTAATTAGTTCTTCTATCCATTCTTTCCTTGCAAAATAGATTAAAATCTTTAGTAGGTTTCAACATTCCAACTCAGCAGATACTGACAATCTGGAGTGCATTAATTAACTCATTTTGATGGACCTGTGCTAAACAAAAGTCATCAACAAATTCAGCTGCATTCTTCTAATGAACAAAATAAAAAGGTCATAAATTAATATGATCTTCCACCCCCTCCCGTCCCGTCGTACCCCTCCTCTTGCGGTGTGCTTGCATACTTACATGGTGCCCAAGGTCTATTTGAAGTGGTGTTCGTTCTCTGATGGACAGACTTGTTAGTGCCCTGCCAGCCGCCTGTTCTACCCTCACCTGACGGCAGGTGCGACACACTATTATTAGCACCTTGCCAACCATCGTTTGTCCCATGACCTGTATACTGGTTGGAACCACTGAAGGTCTGCTGGTGCTGGATGTACGGTGCAGAACTTGGTGTGCCACCAGAGTCTACATGGTAAATACAGTAAAATCTGTTGTAGCGACCACTTTTATGGAAAGACCACTTGTACTAATATGTGGTAAATCATATCAGTAGGCCTATATACAACAATCAGCAGTAGGGCAGTCTTTCTATACAGGTTTTACTATAAGTACAATGGTAGTCATTTTTTGTATGTTTAATAGTAGAGGTCTATGAACCCATATGTTGATAAATAGTGGTAGAATAGACAAACTCAGATTTATTAAAAAGTAAACCTTGTGAATTTCAATTAAGAGTTATCTCGGACTACGCATGGAGTCTATGGAAAAAAGAATGTTAATTATGGTATATGCCAAAGTTTTATCATATCCAACATTTGATTGCAAGAAATATCTTTCTTACTCTTAGTCATACCTGTATTCTGTGAGCCTTTACCTGGAAAGGCATAGAGAGCCTGACAAGGTCTTTTTCTTTTGTTAAAGTTGGGAATGTTTTTCTCAGATGGGCCTTGCATTCTGTTTGTAGAATGGTCTTGTACTTTTAAGTTTAACGCTGGACTGGTAGTGGTACTACTACTGGTAGTGGTACTTGATAGTGGTAGTGAAGATTCACAACATTTCCTAGCCTGGAAGAGAGGAACAAAAGCAAGGAATAGATTATTTCAAATAAAAATAATAAAACCTCAATCATTGTAGTCTTACTCTAGACTAGAGTCTAGACCATTAATATTTGTCTATTTCGTTCAGAAATATGTTCCGAGAATATGTCTGGGTGAATGTCCGAGAATATGTCACCTACTCGTGATGTAACTGATGTGGTTTCACCAAGTGACCAACTGACCTTGAATATTTTTAACTTTTAGGTCTAGACTACCCTCCAAAATTAAAGGCAAAAGAGTCTGATCCCGTTAGCCATTATAACCAATTTGGTCTAGATCTAGAGTCTAGATCTTAGTTTCTGAATCTGACTAACTTTTTTAGAAGTTAGGTTCTATTGATCTTCCATAGATATGAACATATCGTCATCATCAACGATGAGAAATCTCAGTAAAAGTGTACCAAAACCGGTGAGTCGCGGAGCCAGGGTGTCGGCGCACAAAGCTGCAGGAGGGCCGTAGGAGGTGGAGGAAGAGCAGTAGGCGAGTAGCTCGTAACGTATGACATGAGATGGGATGACCAAAGACAAAGTTCGCGAAGATTTAAAAAAATATATATTAGGAATGTGATATTCGATCTATGATATGATTTTTAAAATGTATAATTAGTAGTTCTTACCAGATGGCCAGCAAAATTTTACACCTCAGTTCAGATCACTTTGGTTGCAACTACAAAATGTATCGTGCCTATTCAGATCAGGTGATATCGCGATCTCAGAATTCGATAACGGATCGGAATTTGTCGCAATGGTCAAAAAACACACACAAGAGTTTACAGCTGATTTTATACAGTGCGTCCCAGAAAAAACGAAACCGAGAACTATCGATGTTTTATCACAGCTTAATCACATATTTGTAACGCTTAGATCCTCCTCTTTTATTAGGATGCAACTCATTCACTCAGGAGTGATTAAAAACAATTTGCACAGAGGGTTATTATTATTGTCTGTTTATCTGCTACCATTACCCTATAACAGTTTAGTAATTTGACGATCTTGTTCACTACTTTCTCTTAGTTTTTTTATGTTGGTATTGTATTGATTGAACTGTATTATTTTGTTCATCTTTATTACCATCTTGTACTTGTCATTGTCATACCTGTTCGTTTGGCTCACTATTGTATATTTACTGTATATATAACTTTATTGTATTACTTGTAAACTTGATCAGTTTTGGTCCTTGGACCAGTTTGAATCATATATATTTTAATTTATATGTCTTTTTAAACCGAAATAAAAAAAAATTAAAAAAATTAAATTTTAAAAAGGGTACCGAAAAGTCATTTTGCGGGCAGTATCTGAATCATAAAGAGAAAATCACATTTCTAGAAATTTCATTTCCTGCCCTTTCATATAACACCTCAATCAGGAAAAATGAGCAATAGATAAGAAAGTTGCGTTTGTTTAAAGTATATAGTTGTTTGTGTCATAATTTGAATTCGTTTTCAAGTTGGCTGCCTGCCGTGGCAACAAACACTCGGAGTTGACAAAAGTTTCGTTGAGGATCAGCCATTCACAAAGATACGATCGTCGACGAAACGGAGTTAATCTTTTGTCTACTCTGTTTGTTGCTACGGCAGGCAGCCAGTGAAAACGAAATCGATTAATCAAACTATGGAAATGCAAGCATTACTTTAAACAAACACAACTTTGTTATTCCTAGCTCAATTTTCCTGATTGACTTGACAAGGCGCGTACGCAGGGCGGGGGGGGGGGGTTCGGAGAAGGGTTTTAAAAAAAAAACAGACCTCCCCCCCCCCCCCCCCCCCCCCGCTCACTGAACGAAATACCTAAAACTAGATCCAAAAAAATAGTAGCTCTTAGTAAAAAAAATAGTAGCTCTTAGTCACTAATAATTTGGAACACATTTTATGGTGAAAGGAAAAGGGGGCACTTATCCAAAAGGAAAAGGACATCCGAAAAGAAAAGGCGCACGGGTCAAAATATAAAGGGGAGTTTGGCATTGAAAACGGGGTTCTTTTCGCCCCCGAAAAAAAGGGAAATTCACCAGAGATGCAAAAAGACAATTTGAGAACGAGAAAAGGGGCCCCTTTTTACAAAGGGAAAAGGGCAATTATCAGAAGGAACATTTCACTTATTTGAAAGGATAAGGGGGAACGTGTCAAAATAAAACGGGCACTCATTTCAAAGTTAAAGGGGGGCACCTCTCAAATTTGAATAAGGGCACTCAACGGAGATGAAAAGGTGCACTTAATATAAGAAAGGGGGAAACAAAGGAAAAGAGAAACTTGTCAAAATATAAAGGGCACCTCTCAAAGTTTGAAGTGAGGCAATTATAAGAGGTAAAGGGGCACTTATCAGAGGCGTTAAGGGCACTCACCTGAGATGTATATATACATATATAGGTGCATATGTGAGAATGGAAAGGGGGAACTGATTACAAAGGTAAAAAGGGCACTTGTCGAAAAGGGGCACCTATCAAAGGGGTGAGAAGGGGAGGAGCTCTTTTTTTTTTTTTAAGTGCATTTATCAGAAGGAAAAAGGTCACTTATGAAAAAGAAGAAGGGGGCACGGGTCTTAATAAAGGGGGACACTTATGTGGGGGCACTCATCGGAGATGAAAGAGGGCACTTATCAGGAGGGGAAGGGGCACTAATTACAAAGAAAAAGAGCACCTTTTAAAGTAAAAGGGACACCTCTCATATTTAAATAGGAAGCAATTATCAACGGTGGAGGGGCACTGATAAAAAAGGGGCAATTATCTGAAATAAAAGGAGGCACTTTTCCTTTGTAAAAAGGGCCATTTTAGTGATGCTTCAAAAAGTGGGGGAACTGTGCCCCAAACCCCCCTGGGTCAGCCGTCTCTAAATTTATAAACAAATAATAATCAAAACAAGTGAATCAAGTTTCTTCCGAGTTCATTTCCGTATTTTTTTAAAGAAATAAAATCATAACCGAAATTTTTTCTCTCCTTCAACTGTTTAAACATTTTCCAAATTGAATTACTTGTTGATATATTATATATATATATATATATATATATATATATATAATAATAATAATAATTATGTAGCAAAGACTCCAATTCTAAACGTTTAGACAGAAGCACTTCTGCTTTAGAGCTAGAGCGATTTCCCAAAATCTCCGATCCCGTTTCAATCCCGCCTGATTTTTTTACATAATTATTCAAAAAGGAATACGCTATCTTTAATCCGAAGGAAAATATTTTAAAGTCCAAAAGAGTCTTAAACCAAACTTTTGGATTTAAAACAAGACTATCATGATAAGACTTAACATTTAAAATCCCTGAAATAATTAATTCAGGTCCAATGGACTCAATTTTTAACTATTATAATTATGGCTGCACATGCACGCACCCATAAAATTATCTACGAGCAATTTGATTGGCGAGAAGTTTTTAGTACTCAAAGGTTTAGTTGCATTAGTAAATTTTATTCAGTTAAATCAATCTTAAAGTCTTAAATACATTTGTAAATCTTAGGAAGAATTTAAATTGCAAGTCCTAGAAATTAAGATATTAGCACTATCAGCATTCCACCGTAGTGCTGAATTGAAAGAGCGTGGATTCAACTCTCTTTTCCTCCCTTTTTGAGCGTCAATTCCACTCTAAACATGCCTGTGAACTTTGATATTGCCTCCCCCGAAAATCGATTTACCCCCCCCCCCCTAACCATTATTTATATATATATATATATATATATATATATATATATATATATATATATGCCTATAAAAAGGGAAATGTCCTGAGTTAAAGCTGCATTTAGAAGTCGTATTTTGTTTCAGTCATTTTCTCATGAAATATAAAGATACACTATTATGTAATACATTGTGCCTGGGAGATCGCATTAAAGGTAAAGACCAGTTATGGTCATGCGATTGCATTGTGAAAGAAACGTTGTGGAATCGATCAGAAAAGGTTGATCATCTAGCATCTAGCATCTGCAAGGTTCTGGAATCATCAAAAGGAAATTTGGCCCATTCTTCGTAAAGTTACAAGCACTATACACAGAAAGATGTATATGGGACTACCCTATATCTCTCACAGACCATGAGAGAAACAAATTTACCAAATATATGAATTAGTAGGCGGTTTCCTGGCAAATTTTTTATCATCATGTATTAGTCAAAACATATTCTTTCACAAGTCATGATTGGTAATGAGAGCTTCCATTTCATTTTTTGAAATTGGGGCGTTTCCAATACTGGTCTTTACCTTTAAAAGCCAGTAGCTTACAGTAGTAAAACGCATCGATTCTCCTTACAATCATATAGGAATGAAAAAAGCAAATAAGACAGTATACAAAAAAACTTAATTTTAATTGGGGTACTGTGGGTAGTATCAGGCCTGGGTAGTATCATGGCAGTATAACTGTTTCGCCGTTCTCTCCGGACGGGAAATATTTCTTATCAAAATAAACAGATTTGCAGGCAAGTGGGAGACAATTAGGAAAAGAGAAATGAAGCAAATTTGAAAACGAGCTGTTCACATTTTGATGGGGGGGGGGGGGGGGGGGGTGCATGCCTGTGCCACTGTAGCTTTACACCACATAAACAATACAAATATGTTCAGAGTGAGAAGCTGTTGTAAATGATGAGGAGACTTATACACAATATCAGTGGATAGGGCCTCATAGACTACTGAATTACCATGTTGCCCTCATGTATAACAATAGCATAAGTGGCCTTTTTTTGGGGGGGGGGGGCGGGACATGGCCTCTACTGATCAACTCCCCCAAGAGGGAAGTCCAGACTCATATGGTCTTTTTATTTGTGGCCATTCACAATTTTTTTCTTTCACAAATAATATTGTCTAGCACCAGTTTGGGGTTTGCACTTTAAACATTCGAATTTTATTTCTACACATTATAAACGTAAATGAAAAAGCACTTCCGGTTATGTGTATAAATTTAAAAACACATCGCCATACGGACACCGCGCATCGCCTAAACTTTTAGGTGGATGACGAGCTTCATTTATACCACTAGCAATTCTTGTTTTTAGACAGAGAGTAAGCCTACGTTTGGAGGAATACGTTCTTTCCGCTGTCATCTCTAAATCGTGAGGTAATATACTAAAAATATTTGATTCAATCTTGCCAAATGTATCTGCATCTGTAAAGTAATGTGAAGCAGTTGTGTGACTGTGTGTGAGGCCGAGGTGTAGGCGTATGCCGCGGTGCACGGAGGAGAATGGGTGAGAAATGGCCTAAGCAGGCGGCTAAACACTGCTGATGAGCCGGTGACGATCGATGTCGGTGGACCCGGAGTTTGGCGAGCTTGGCCTGGCGCCTTGTAATTGAAGAGTATGGTGTAGATCAGGGGTTCTCAAACTTTTTACTTTGCGGTCCAGATGTGACTTCCATGAACAGATGAAAGCTGAATTAGGTCTGAAACAATGTCCAATTATTTCCGTAGTCATCAAATTAGGGAGGCCAATGCCCAAATCTAACTTTTTAATTAGACCTACTAATAGTCTGATCGCGCACCCAATGTTGTGTGCTAAAATTCTTCCCATAGTCTAGAGATAACACGCATCCCTATGCAGCCTACGTGCATTGCGCGACCATGCAAATAAAGTCAATTTTTTTTTCTTCAAATCGAGATTCAAACCTTTATCTGTTGTGATCCTGAAGGTGATAATCAATGAATGAGGTGTCATATGAAAGAGCAGGTGAATTCCAATATTTCCAAAGGGGCGTAGCCCCCGAAATTTAAAAAATATCTTGGTCAAAACAGCAATTTAAACATTGTGTCCTGGCTAACTCTGAGGTTTGTCACTTTTGAGATATGACGCCCCGATCGATAAGTAGTCCCAGTCCTAAGGAACAATTCTATGTGATTATATTTTCGCTAGCCCCCAGGGATCACAACTGATAACATTAACAGTTTAAAAATACCCTTCTCGCTATTTGGTGGATCAGCTAATTAGGAGGCGTGCGCTCCGCTCAGTCCAAACCATGGTTACATCGCGTAACATCTCCGCGCACGAACGAAACCCCAAATTCAATTACACATTATAGTGACTGAAATTATGGTTGGCAATTCCCTCGATAAACCCGGAAGTGAATACACGTTATAGTCAATGGCAATATCGCGGAGACATCTCCGCGATATTGCCATTGACTATAACGTGCATTCACTTCCGGGTTTATTGTGCGACGAACGCCAACCATACTAGTCAATGGCACATGTCGCGGAGACAGCGTAGCTCAAGCTGCAAGTCGCGGATTGGCTTAGCAGCATGCGTACGATATGCATACGCTTGCATATCGCGCGATACAGCTGTTTGGCTAAATTTAGCAAAACAACATCACTCTGCGTGGACGTCTTTTTCGTCGATTTTGACCAAAATGATATGAATATACCAGCGTTTTGGAGGGGCTGTAACTTTTGATAGAAACATCGGTGAGACTTGAAATTTGAAATGTATTATTCTGATAACATGTTCTATTCAAATATCAAACAAAAATGGTGAAAAACGATCCCAAATTGAAAATTGAAAAATCGTTCAGACACCCTATTTTATAATAAAACAAACATTAAAAGAAAGCATTTTTTTTCACTAAGAAAACTCACCCATCTGCCGACTCCAGAAGTTCCATAAAATAGGAGATTTCCAGCTAGTTCCTATGAGGTTCCTTCTACGCCTGGCCGTACGTAATAAGAGCCTTGAAACAATCAACTTCAATTACGTTGAGAATTAGACAGGCCCGAGGGAATATGGGCGTGTCATCATGGTCATTGCCCGGACAACAAGTTCAAAACTTCGCGCGAAAGTACATTCATCATCACCGGCTAGCCTTGAATTAGTCGCACACACCGACACAGTACTGCAGGCCAGGTACGGTAATTGCATGCAAGCCGCGATCGAGCCATGCTAGCCATGGCATGGAGGGTCAAAGCTCGAAAGCCACTCATTGTAAATTAAGAAAGTAATTGAAATAAATAAATAGGCCTACCTTAGTTTTGCGATGTATTCCAATTACTATTTCCTCATGAGTAAAGATCTGACACTGCATTATCATCGATCGATAAATCCAACTTGCACTTGCATGCAGCGATCACAATACGGAATCAAACATGACTGCACGCATTGATAGATGTGTACTACTTACGGAGATATTTCTCTCCCTCTCTCTCTCTCTCTCTCACTAACCATATGATGATATCATACACTAAAACACACACGCTCAAATCATGGCATTCATTACACTTCTCAATTGGAGTATAGACTGCTCACGTAGACTTTTTTTTTTTTTTACTGAAATGTCTTTTTTTACACTTCTCATACATTACTGCACGACACTGGTGTCTAGTGCTGAGAAAAAGGTACTATGTGTGAGACTACGTCAAATTTGTTTTGCGCGCGATGAGACCGGAGCTCATAAATATTCATATTATGATGTCGCAAGACTTCTATTTGGGGCTGAAACAATGAGGTCTCTGTTCACAATTTTCCTTCTCAATTTGAGATGGCTCTAGCTATGGGGCTCGAACCAACGCAAGATTGACAAAAACATCGTACTCTATCTACCTTCGAATGTGCAGTTTGTAAAAATCTGCAATTAAAAAGATATAATCTTTTTTCGTTATATTTTCTAGTTGTTAAAAGTGACATTTGTGCACATCTGATATGTTAATCTCTATCAAAAGTTCTTTGATATTAAATTGGTTCCATATTTTTAGGCTCTACCTTCAGTCATTGAGAAGGATTTTAGTGAGCTAACCTCTGCGCCCTCTCGTTGCTGTTGTGTGCGCGCTAAGTTCGTCTGCTACAACAATTATTGGATGGAAATACGTCAAAATCTGCAAGATCGTCAACAAATGGTGAAAGACCGTTACAGATCCGTGATTATAGGTACATGTATGTTGTGGAGTGTGTAATTGTGTATTTGTTATACATTTTATTCCATAGATATTTTTTTTTTTTTTTCCCCTTTTTTTTTCTTGTGATAATTTTCTGACTTGGACGACGAGCGCACAAATCGTAGGCGTAGAAGCCTTACGCCCGGGCATTGGCCTCCCTAATCAAATGTAGGGGGCGCTGGTCCGAGAATAAGGATCGTCTGCATAAACGCGACAGACGTAGACACGTCCTAAAAAATTAAAAATAAGGATCGTCTGATGATTCTTATTTCTGATCTGTGCGATGGCGATCAGCGATGATGCTCATTGATGCATTTCACTCTTACTTTGCACCGTGAATTTCATGTACCTACCGGTACTTACAGTCTATGACTAGAGTAAAGGAGCCGGTTTTCGGCCACTTAAGACAAAATCCTATTTTTTGGACCCTTTACTTCCTATTTATTATCATTTTTTGTTCAAATCATGAAGCAAATATTATTATTATTTAAACAAAACAAGAATCCCAGGAAAAAATCACGAATTGCCATGACAATATTCATTTCAATTTTCACTGTTTCGGAGTCAGTTTTCGGCATAGCGTACCAGTTTTCGGCCGCATGTACAAAGTCAATAGGAAGCGCGCGCACGCGCCATGCGTTTCCGCGCTGATCTATAGCACTAGCGGGCGGAGCAGATATCCCACGCCGGAGCTCGCCAGGCCAAAAACTAGTACTGTGGTGATCGGACATTGGAATCTGAATTAGACGGAGATATCGTGTGTGCGTTGCGGTGTGCGGCTGCATTGATTTAATACATGCGATGAGATACTTTTGAGCTTGCGACTAGCACAAAATCGGGCTCTAAATCTGAAAAATACTTGAAATAAAGCTCATTTTATGGTACCCATATTTCTTACAGACACGCGTAAGATACTCAATTTTTCAGATTCGGGTAGCGGGACCGCCGATTGCATCGCTAAAATGTGATATTTTAGGATATATTTTTCATTGCAAATGTGGTTCTTCAGTGACACTGGCATGGTATGGTATGTGTGGGATATGTGTTATGCTATTATGCGATGTATTTTAGAGGGATTTTACCTTGCATCCAACCAATTGGCCGAAAACTGGAGCTGGCCGATTACCGGCTCCTTTACTCTATGATAAATCCTTGGGAAAACAGACAACCTCCAAAACTAAGTGAACTGGGGGTATTTTATTACGTAGAATTCATTTTTCACATTGCCAGCACGCAGATCTGGAACCCTACACCCGCAGAGCGCCAAAGAAAATAAACATCCTTGAAAATGCGGACGATCCTTATTTTTTAGGGCGTGATTTGTCCGCATTTCCGAGGATATCCTCGTTTATATGCAGACAATCCTTATTCTCGGACCAGCATTCCTACTGGTCATTGATATAAGTTTGTGATATTGTTTATACATGATGTACGTCTTTACGTCTTTACACTTACATGTACATGCATGTAGATACACTTACTTTAAAATTAAAGAGCTTAGACGGTCCAAAGTTCTGGTACAAATGCAGGTACATGTATATATCGGTGGGAAAAGTAGCCCTGTTTTTTGGCTACCGGTATAAGCTGCTTGGACATTGGGCTAGGCACCAGGGGCGGTGATTTCTTTTCATGACCGGGTGGCGTAATTGCGAGGGACGATGTAGCATAGTGAACGAGTGCACTCTTGGGCCCTCCAGAGCATGACAAGTGTGTTGCAGTCTTTAGTCGGTATTTCCTATACTTTTTTAATATTGCACTTTTTCAAATTTTCAAGGGGTAATGACCCCCCCCCCCTAAAAAAATTGAGCAGAGGGGGGGGGGGGGGGGGGGAACGTGTCCACTCCTGTCCCACCCCCTCCCCCAGGATCACCGCCCCTGCTTGGCACAAATCGAGTGATTACAAGACGAAGGCATTGATGCAAATGTTCTGTCAATCTACTCTTAAATTTTATATTACCCGGTAATGACACTTACTGACTGTAGATAACATGTACACACTGAAGAAAATGAGACTTTTTTCATACATCTGATCTAAGGGGAATAGTTACAGTTTAACCCCCAAAAGGCTGGGTTATTTTGGTTCTCTCTCAGCCTTGGAATCTCGGCCACAGAATTGGAATGACAAAAATTATTAAACTTGGCATAACCATTGAGTATCTTGTAAAGAATTTCATACGTACATGTATGTCTCAATTGTC